AAATACATAAAATACCCAGAAAATGTCAATAAATAATAAAAACTTAGATATTTTTTGACTTTTTTATCGATAAAAATAGGTTTAGTAGTTCCGCCTATTTTCATTGCACTTTCTCAAGACTCATACTGAACTAGCGGCCGCCCGCGAGTAGGTACGCGTGGATCCCGTTTTACCCCTTCATCTATCTTACGCGGTTTAGATTTTTTCATACAAATGTTTTTTACCGCTAACTCCCGTTCCCGTGGGAATTTTGCAATATCCTGTTGTAACTAAGCTTTAAGTTTACTAAGGTACCTGCATGCCAAATTTCAAGCGTCTAACTTAGGCGGTTTAGATTTTTCATACAAAAGGATTTTCCCGATAATTCCCGTTCCCGTGGGAATTTCGGGAATTCCTTGTTGAAACTAAGCTTTTAGTTTACTAAGGTACCTACATGCCAAATTTCAAGCGTCTATCTTACGCGGTTTAGATTTTTTCATACAAATGTTTTTTTCCCGCTGATTCCCGTTCCCGTTGGAATTTTGCAATATCCTGTTGTAATTAAGCTTTAAGTTTACTAATGTACCTGCATGCCAAATTTCAAGCGTCTAATAAACTTAAGCGGTTTAGATTTTTCATACCAAAGGATTTTCCCGCTAATTCCCGTTCCCGTAGGAATTTCGGGAATTCCTTTCTTAGTGCACCTCTACGGTACCTAAGCTACGTCCCTTCCAAATTTCAAGTGCATACGTTTAGCCGTTTAGGCTGTGCGTTGATATGTCACTAAGTCAGTCAGTTTCTCCTTTTATATATTTAGACTAGCGGCCGCCCGCGATTTCGTACGCGTGGATCCCGTTTTAGCCCCTACATCTATCTTACGCGGTTTAGATTTTTTCATACAATTTTTTTTCCCGCTAACTCTCGTTCCCGTGGGAATTTTGCAATATCCTCTTGTAACTAAGCTTTGAGTTTACTAAGGTACTTGCATGCCAAATTTCAAGCGTCTATCTTACGTGGTTTAGATTTTTTCATACAAATGTTTTTTCCCGCTAACTCCCGTTCCCGTGGGAATTTTGCAATATCCTCTTGTTACTAAACTTTGACTTTACTAAGGTACCTGCATGCCAAATTTCAAGCGTCTAACTTAAGCGGTTTAGATTTTTCATACAAAAGGATTTTTCCGCTTATTCCCGTGCCCGTGGGAATTTCGGGTATTCCTTTCTTAATGCACCTCTACGGTACCTAAGCTACGTCCCTTCCAAAGGACAGTGCCAATCCATGTATGGAAGTTGGACCAAGTGCTGCCCAGAATGAAACTATAGTGCATTTTGTTCCTCAGGCCAATACTAATTTGTAAACCGGAGCGCACTGAAATCTATCCCTGGAGTTAAGAGAAAAAAAGAGTTTTGTTTGGAATTATTTACATACAAAATATCATCGATGTATACCTACTGCGCATAAGATTTCGAGATTTTGGCATTAAATAACACTCTTTATGTTGAACTTAACCATACTGCATCCGTACACCTTACTTTAGTACGACTTCGACATTATTTATAAGCGATCAAGCGCTGTTGCAGTAATTTGGTTAGTTGACCGAAATTAATTATTTCCAAAATAGAGCAAGAAGTTTTAACTTACAATAACTTAAATAATCGATTGTATAACACCAATAAATTGATTTTTCGCAAGGATAGAGAGCTATAACTTCTTGATTCATTTTGGAAATAATGATTTCTGTCAAGTAACCAAACTATTGCAACAGCGCTAGATCGCTCATAAAGAACGTGTAAGTCGCACTAAAGTAAGGTGTACCGATGCAGTATGGTTAAGTTTAACATAGCGAGTATTATTTAATGCCAAAATCGCGAAATCTTATGTGTAGTACGTATACATCGATGATATTTTGTATGTAAATATTTCAAAACAAAACTCTTTTTTTCTCTTAACTCCAGGGATAGATTGCAGTGCGCTTCGGTTTACACATTAGTATTGGTCTGAGGAACAAAATGCACTACGGGTTGATTCTGGGCAGCACTTGGTCCAGACCCTGGCACTATCCTTTCAAGTGCTAAATTTGTAAACTATGAAGGGATATGTTTAATCATTAGTATAACATTAATAGCAGGGTTACCATCTGAAATCGGCTATTAATGGCTAATAACTGCTTTTAATCCGTTACTAGCCAATTGCTATTAATCGGATTATTAGCACTTACCCATCTCTAGGGGAGGGGGATTAAAGTTTCCACTTATGAGTTTTTCGCTATTATTCATAAATGGTGCTTTGTTTCTAAAGTACGAAAAATCGTAGAACATATATGGGGATGAAATCTTTTATTTCTGAGGATTAAGAGTAAGTTTTGGGCAAGCGCTTTTTTTAAAATGATCCCTAATCTTTCAGCTTTCAAAAAGTATCAATTCAATTAAATGTTTCAGAGTAATTTAGAGAGGAGTAGTTCACAATTAATGGTTTTTGGTAACAAGTCGGAAATTTCTAAAAAATTTAGTAATCATCCAGTTTTGACCCCTGGTTCACTGGACGTAATTTGTTGCTAATGGCCTTTAGTATATTCCCTTTCAAGGTATAGGTCGAGTTTCCCTGTCACCGTGTATACAGGGTGTTAAGTAAATGGGTATATGAGCCGACACTAGCCCATGTAAACATGGTCATATAAATGGTATGGTGAAGTCAGAAAATCGATATCTTCATTTTAATTATTTTAATTTTCATACAAATCGGATTTTATAAAATTTATTTTGTATGAAAATTAAAAAAATTAAAATGATGATATCAAATATCTGACTTCATCATAATGACCATGTTAACATGGGCTAGTGTCGGCTCATATACCCAATTACCTAACACCCTGTACAGTTTTAAATTATTAATTTGTATAGTTAATTATTATAAAATATATTGTAAATAATGTAAACACATGTTCTATAAATAAAAACCGCCCAAGTGCGAGTCGGACTCGCACACCGAGGGTTCCGCCGTACATATATTTTTTTATTTTATAAATAAAAAAATTTATAGGTAGACCTCAGCGTTTTGAATTTTTGCGTTGATTTAGAATTTTTCACGGTTTAGAGGCAATTAGATTTAAGAAGTGTTTGATATGAATTTCAACTTTAATATCTCTACGCGTTCATGTGAAAAAGGGTAGGTAGTAAGTTTATAATTATTAAAAAAATATTTTGTCATGTAAGCAAAAATAATATTTTAATATTTTATGTAACTTCAAATTTATCATTTTCGGAATTTTTCCTTTATCTGTACTACATAACGTTGCTTCGTGCCGAATTTCAAGATTCTGAGTTCACGGGAAGTACCTTTTAGGTTTTGATTCCCTAGCGTGTGACGGAAATTCGTCTAAGGTGTCGGTATAAACTGCTGTATCTTTTGATCCCGTTAACTTAGAAGTTTGATTTTTTCACTGCCTAAAGGGACTTAACTAAAAAAATGTGATTTTCGCAATTTTTCCTATATTTGCATTATATGACAATGCTTCATGCCAAATTTCAAGACTCTGAGTTTACGAGAAGTATCCTGTAGGTTTTGATTCCATTGCGAGTGTCGAAAATTTGTTGAAAATATCGACATAATCGGCTGTATCTTTTGATTGCGTTGGCTTAGAAGTTTGATTTTTTCACAGCTTCAAGGGACAGTAGACCTGAGTAATTGATATAAATTTCAGCTTCATACCTCCACGCGTTCCTGAGAAAAAGGGTCTTGACAGACGGACAACAAAGTGATCCTATAAGGGTTCCGTTTTTTCCTTTTGAGGTACGGAACCCTAAAAACGTTATTTTTAAGCTGAAGAGTTCGTTTGCTTGAACGCGCTAGTCTCGGGCACTACTGGTCCGATTTGATCAATCCTTTTTGTGTTGGATAGCCTATTCGTCGAAGAATTTTACCGAAACTCAACCGAAAACGAAACCGAAACCGAAAATTCGGTCGGACACTAGCGGATGAAGATGACTTTGAATTTCGTATCCATATCCGTAACACCCCTGTTTTGTTAGGAGCATAAGCATGATTATAGGTGCGAGGATTCTTAAGAATTGTATTAATTATTAACATTTGTATTTTACTCATAATTATTATTTATATTGTCAATTAATGTTAAATTAATATGGAGAGTGGGGATATTCTACCACAAGTATTTATTTACCTACTTAAAAGAATTCCTCGATCGCAATATAGAAATGTAAAAACACCTGGTTATAAATAAAGAAATTTGAATTTGTATTAGGAAAACAACATTTAATCTGGTCAACCGGTCAGTGGCCTAATGAGGGTTTTCGCGAATGAAAAATCCGCCAGATGGCATACGTAGACGCGAGGTCCAAATGCTGCATGATTGGTTATTTTTGACATGACATTGACAGATATGTCAAAATCCACCAATCACGCAGCAGTCAGACCCCACATCCACATCCCGCCATCTAGCGGATCTTTCATTCGCGAAAACCCTCATTCACGTATTTTGAAACTGTCAAAATGTCTGACGTTTAGGAGTCCTAAATCCGTATTCACGTGTCATTTCGATAGAACGACTAATTGATAGGATCGCTACTCAGCGATTTGTCATTTGACCTGTCATCCGATTAAAAACCAAACTTCAAAATAGGTATAGGTNTTTGATCAATCCTTTTTGTGTTGGATAGCCTATTCGTCGAAGAATAACATCCCCATACAGTCAATAGGGTTAGGAGCAGTAAAGAAAAATTATGCAAAAACGGGAAATATTAAAGTCGCGGGCACAGCTAGTGTTAAAAAAATGGAATAAGAGTAGGCGCACACCGTTGATTTTTCGTCGGCCGATAGTTGTCGGGCTGTTGATCAGTATGGGTATGTATGGGAGTGCGCACACTACGCCGATTCAATTTGGCCGATTCTTCATACAATTTGAAATCGGGCACAACAATCGGCCAACTAAAAATCAACGGTGTGCGCCTACTCTAAAGCACGCGGGGCTTCCGTGAAGGCGCCGCTGACGGCCGCTTGTGGTGCAGGGTGCGGCTGCTGGTGCACGCGCGCAGCGGCGCGGCCGTGGCGCTGAAGGCGGTGCGCGCGGAACCGGCGGCGGCGGCGGGGGCGGGCGAGGCGTGCCGCGAGGCCGCGCTGCACCGCGCGCTGCGGCACCCGCACGTGCTGCGCTGCCTGGGCGAGCGCGCGCACCAGGGCCTGCACTACATGTTCCTGGAGTACGCGCAGGGCGGCGAGCTGTTCGACCGCATCGGTGAGCCTGTCGATTGACATTCCCGATAAACTTCGTCCCGGTTTCGAGTGCTCTGATCCGCCCAGGGTTGTTACGGAAGCAAAAATGTTGACATCCGCAGATGTGGATTGATAAGATTCACGTCCATACAGATATCATTATATCACATTTCAATTTCATGTACCCCCCATCTACCTAATTGGATAAATTAAAAGTAGTCCTTTCATTTAGAAAATAAATAAAAAATCTCTAGAGCTTCATTATGAAAAACATTTCAAATATGAAATATCCGTAAAAGCTCCACATTACTAGTAGGTATTGCGGATGAAGATGACTTTGAATTTCGTATCCATATCCGTAACACCCCTGTTTTGTTAGGAGCATAAGCATGATTCTAGGTCGCGGATTTTTAAGAATAATTATCAACATTTGTATTAGGAAAACAACAACATTTAATCTGGTCAACCGATCAGTCCTAAATCCGTATTCACGTGTCATTTCGATAGAACGATTATTCGATAGGATCGCAACTCGGCGTAAGTCATTTGACCTGTCATCCAATTAAACCAAACTTCAAAATAGGTAATAGGTGAATACCGCGGAGGCAACGATTGAATGAATACGTTTATAAACAAAATCGGGCGATTAAAACGTGAATATGAAAAGTGACTCCAGCGATCAAATCGCTTGGATGTCGTTGAAGTTTTATTACGTGAATCAGGCTACTGGTCAAAGTGAGCACAGCCAGCACACATCAGGTTTGAACATTTTCGGTCTCTATACATTTTATTTATTTATTTGAAATCTTTATTGCACACATAATAAACAGTGGTACAACAGGCGAGCTTAATGCCATGTGGCATTCTCTTCCAGTTAACCAGAAAATTAGACAAAACAGAATTTAAGTAGGCGGTGCAAAATTGTACAAATACATAAAATGTATACTAATATCATTGTTGTTGTGAATAAATAAATAAATAAAAAATAAATAATACATAAAATATTATAATATAAATTAATACAAAATTATACCTACATAAATACATACATGATGCGATCTGACCGTGCGTGCGTGCGTGCCCGCTGAGAACGCAAAGATTGTCTTGTCACGACTGCTGACAAAGCCATAAATTCGTAGACTTCTGACCGTTGTAGTTGAACTGACCGACACTGTCGTTCATACATGATCGGGCTGCATTCACTTTGACCTGACCGCAGACTAGTGTTGCGAAAAAACCTAAGCTTAGCTAAGAATTGCTAAAATTCACATAGTCTTCATTCAATTCGCGCGCTGTTTTCCTTCTGAGTAGAAAGATGAAAGATCGTGAGACTTTAATGTGTAAGGACGATCAACACCTCGAAATCTGGAAAGTACTCGGGTTATGTTATATTAACCCGTAATCAAGAATCCTTTCGCGACTGATTGCGAAAAAGTTGGTAGTTTGTAGATAGAATATTGGGAGAAATGACAAACTCAAATATCATTTCACAGCATCACCCTTGCATACAATTTATTTTTTCGTATTAGATTATTATTAAAATATATTTTCGTAATATTTTTTTGTGGTAATTAAAAGAAAGACGATAAGTAGGTACATAATAAATAATTTTCTTTTGGCACATATAAGTTATTATCTCAGCCCATGATATTACATTATGTCTGCGTCCTTATATCTCGTAACACTTCAGTCTCCATCCTAGCTCTAGTCATAAATATAAAACCTTCGTAACGAAGACGACCGGTTGTACATAGTGATTTTTTTTCGCAACCAGGCGTGAAGTGGGCAAAAGCATGCTTGGTATCGGGTTAGTGGGAGTGGGCGATGCGGCGATGGTATGGGGCGCGCGTTGCAGAGCCGGACGTGGGCATGCGGCCGGCGGCGGCGCGGCGCTACTGGCGCCAGCTGCTGGCCGGGCTGCGCTACCTGCACGCGCGCGGCGTGGCGCACCGCGACCTCAAGCCCGAGAACATCCTGCTGGACCACCACGACAACGTCAAGATCTCCGACTTCGGGATGGCTACGCTGTTCAGGTGAGAGCCGGCCGTTGTTTTACTAAACCACAGCCTGTATTATGGACACTCATATGCAAAAGTTAAGCATTATTGAAAAAAAAACTGAACTTTTACACCTTTAATATTGGATAATAAAGAAGAAAAAATCAGTATCTTTTAGTTAACGAGTGAGAATATTTTTGCATAATTTTGAAGTAACAAAATAGGTAACTTTGAATTTTTATACCGCGAAAACTACTTGGAATTTTCAAACGGGAGTTTTACTATCATGTTTGTATAACTGAGCTCTATACGGTTCATCAAATAAATGAGAATGTCCGATTATACAGTCTCATAACATACTGTGTGACGTTCAGAAGTCGTCCCATTGAAAAACAGTTCTAAATCCATACGGATTACGGCCGGTTCACACACGTCTCCGTTTTACTGTTGCGTTTTATCGTGTTTTTTTTTCGTTGATGTATGTATTACTGTATATATACAGAATACTGTGTCGTGTGTGAAGTCGCTCATACAACTACATACGCCATCGACGAAAAAAAAACGTACACGAAAACAGAGACATGTGTGAACCGGCCGTTACTGTGAATACTCACAAGGGTCATTTTGATAGAACGATTACTGGATAGGATCGCATTCGGCGATTTGTTGTCATTGAAGTATTGTAACGTGAATAAGGCTACTGTACTATAATATAACCCTTTACTTACAAGATTATGCTCTAATTCTAAGTCGCCCTGTGTATTTATCAGGGAATAACTTTGTAAGTATGTAAAATAAAAATACACACCAAAATATTTCATTATGTAACATTTAATCTATCGACCATTTTGTATTACCATGTGTCTGGCTTTCTGAGCAAATAAATGAATTATTATTATTATAAATATTAAATACCAATTCTACCAATCAAATTTGTGATTAAATCATCACACAAAACGGGGTGTCAATGTCTCCCGTCGAACTGTTCATATCGGTTATATTAAGATCCGCGACGCCATTATATCGATCGCGGAGTAGGAATGGTCACTCTAATTTACACAACATTTCCGATGCGAGACGGTCACGACGTTCCCGTCTCTGTGGCGGGTCGCACCGCGCACGGGACGCACGCTGACGCGCCAGCGCTCGTTTGCAGGCACGGCTCGCGCGAGCGGCTGCTGGCGCGCGTGTGCGGCACGCTGCCCTACGCCGCGCCCGAGGTGCTGGCGGCGGCCGCGCGCCCCTACCGCGCCGCGCCCGCCGACCTGTGGGCCGCCGCGCTCGTGCTGCTCGCCATGCTCGTCGGCGGTCAGTACCCTCCTCCCCGCGCCCCTCCCGCGCCGCGCCCGCCGACCTGTGGGCCGCCGCGCTCGTGCTGCTCGCCATGCTCGTCGGCGGTCAGTACCCTCCTCCCCGCGCCCCTCCCGCGCCGCGCCCGCCGACCTGTGGGCCGCCGCGCTGGTGCTGCTCGCCATGCTCGTCGGCGGTCAGTATCCTCCTCCCCGCGCCCCTCCCGCGCCGCGCCCGCCGACGGAGTCCTCGGTCAAGATCGCGGCGCGGCTCGTCTCTTTGGTATCCTAGCTGTAGGCGTGTTCGCAATCCCTAAAGTTATGGTACCGAAGTTACGCGTCGCGCCGCTCGCAACGAAACGAACTCGAGTCTGCGGTCGGGTGAGTCGCGAAGTCGTCGATTTTTACGAACGTTGTAACATTTTTAAAACGTGCATGCGATCGTCGTCTCCGCGTGACGCGGGCGAGACTCGCCGCGAGCTGACCGTGCCCTCCCCGCAGAGCTGCCGTGGGAGCGCGCGGCGGCGGCGGACGCGCGCTGGGCGGCGTGGGAGGCGTGGGCGGCGGCGGGCGCGGGCGCGGCGCCGGTGCCGTTCGCGCGGCTGCCGGCGGACGCGCTGGCGCTGCTGCGGCGCGCGCTGCAGCCGGCGCCCGAGGCGCGCCCGGCGCTGGAGCGGCTGCTGCGCATGCGCTGGCTCGAGCAAAAAGGTCGGTTCTCTCCTGTGACTGTGGGAAAGTGGTGTTCTCTCGGCCTTTTGAGGGGGCGTTGAACTGATCGCTCCTTTTCGTTCTCCGATTTTGCTTTCGAACTGTACGCGTGACGTCGCGAGGTGTTGCCGAATTTTTATAATGAGTAAAAAAATACTTTTACTGAAAAAAAGGGTTGCCGATTCTGATTTGCTGATAAAAATTTGGCACGCCGTTGCTATTTATTATATTGCACAAAATATGGACTGCTTTGTCTGAAAACAAATATTCCTTATACACACCGAAATAATGTAATTATTAAAAGTAAGGTTTAAAACTCGATGAACGCCGTCTGCTAGCGTTCATTTCACTGTGATACCTTAAATTGGAAATGTGTACGTGTTACTTATTTTCGTGCTAGCATAACACTCCAGGGAGAAACTAGCGATCGACGAAGACCTGCGGATACAAAAGGAGCGAAGCCGTGCCAGGTACTAGGTGACTCTGAGTGGCGCGGTCTCAGAGCCGCCTCGTGCCTCCGCACGGCGCGCGTCCGCCCGGCGCCGGCGCGCGTCGCGGCGCTTTGGCGATTTAGCTCCGTGACGTGTGCAAGGCTCATAAAGCTAGATTACCAAAGCACCGCGGCGTCGCGCGACCATCGGTCAGCGACCATCAGTCGACGCGCAGCACCCGCCGATAAGCAAGAATTCGCCGTCATCTCAAGATCCGTCACTTTTTTAATATTAATATTATGCCCATTCGTTTTTTTTTTTTACGGCTGTCTAGCTAGAATGCTCGACGTCGTAACTAGCACTCGAGCGAGACTGCTTTACTACTAATGTCTAATGTTTCAGCTGTTAATAAGTGCTACTGCATCTGCTAAATTGTGTTATTTTAGTTGGGTACTTGAAAACAAATTCTTTATGTGCTGTTAATGCACCAATGTTTATGCTAAACTTAATTATTAATCTAATTAATTATACAGCATATTGTAAACCAACTCATTAGTCTTCTTGGATTTATTGGTAATCAAGTACCCAATTAATTATTCGAAGTGTGACAAATTACATTAGTATGTTTTTGTATTTTATTGTTGTAATAAGAAAGATCATCTACAAATGCAAATTCGATCGGAAAAGTTCATTTTTTTCATCTTATATTTTTGTGTTCATACTTCATAGTTTTATTTGTGTACTAACTAATAATGCATTATGTAATCCGTCAGATTACAATATAACGCATGAGTTTGTAAACTAAATAATCCACTAATTTTTTTTGTAGACTAAGTAATTCAACGAATTCGCAAAATTTTACCTTCAAACCTCTATTTTTATTTATTTTATTTTTATTGTTTATTCGTTAAACATATTTATTTATATTGGGAAGACTAGGGTTTACGTAATAACTGTAAGTTATGCTACAATTAAAAACACGTTTTAATAATGTAAAATAATACGCAAGTAATAGAGCCTATTCACTGTTTAGGGTTAACTTCCTAAACATCCGCAAAATATGATATGAATTAAAAAAAACATACTTACCTTTGTCCTTTCCATTATTAGTATTTAATTAGATTAATTATATTTGGGATGATCTGAAACTTCTAATGCTGCGGTTTCACGGCGAAGTTTCATCCGAAGGTAAATATTTTGCGGATGATTCGACACCTAACAATTTGACGCTGGTTCAGATCCGGCTCGAAGGACCACTATGTACGCGAGATAGTGTTTTATTTGTATTGTACTTTATTGTTTATTTACGATAATTAAAATTTAAATCTTGACAATTGTGTCTACACAAGTTTTCAACCTATTAGGTACTTGGTTGAAAACTTGTGTAGAACTGATCGGCGAGTGATTTTATTTAATAAAATGAAATATTGCAGGGTTCGAAATTATCAAGATAATTATGCTTCCTGATAATTATCAGATAGGTAATTATCGGATAATTATCAACAGTGTAAGATACATTTGTCATATTGTTTCATAAGAAATTCTGATGTTACATTGAGAATGTTGCTTTGTTTTTGGTTACTGATTGATGTCAAGTTATCCATCGCTAGTCGCATAAAGCATTGTGGAAAATAGAAAAATATTTTGACGCTAGTTAACGAGTGATCGTTATGGAGCTAAATAGATAGGTTTTAGAACTATCTATGTTAAATAACGTCCACCACAGTCCACACGAGTTTGAAAACTTCGAATACAAGCGCATTTTTTGTTATTATCAACTGATAATTATCCATCTGTTATTATCAAGATAATTATCCCTTCGAACCCTGAGCGTTTGCATGACCTACATAATCACTCGTGACTTTACTTTGTACATTATATCATTGGCATCGATTTGTCTCATATTTTGGGCATGTGCTGTGTATCATGAATAGTCTTATTTTAAAAGGAAGCCAACGATTTGAATTTCACCATGTATATTAGCAATGGATTTAGAATATGTGTGGGTAAACTAAAACTATTATCTCGCGTGGCGCAGAGGAGGAGGTGCGCGCCTGGCGCTCGCAGCCCTGCGCCGCCGACGCCGACGCGCCCGACGCCGACCTGTCGGCCGCCGACATGGACGCGCTGCTCAGCCACTCGCAGCCCGCGCAGCCCGACGACCTGCTGCTGGCCTCGCAGCACGACTCGCCCGGCGCGCAGGTACCGCCCGCCCCGAGCCCCGCCCAGCGCCCATGCGGTCGACGGAACGTTTAATGCTGATGACGTGTTCCTTCCACAGAATGAGCTGATAATGCAGCGGCTGGTGCGACGCATGACGCGCGTGCGCCTGCGCTGTGACGAGGCGACTGCGTTGCGCGCGCTGTGCGAAGCCGCGCGCGCGCTCGGCTACACCACGCGCCGCCTCGACCACAGCCGGGTGAGTCTACGATCGCGACGGATCTACGATTCTTTGTAACGCTGAGTCATTTTTTTTTATTGTGCCGCCCCCTCGTAGCGTTCGTGGTGCCTAAAAAAGGTCGATGCTCTCACGAGTAGATGTATTCAAAAAACCAACTAGGCGTTTCAAAGTAACTAATCGATAGATTTTTTTTAATTAATCACATCTATCGCTTAAACCCTTTTTTTTTTAAGATCTTGCCCACCCGGTCAAAATCCACTCTTTCACTTACGCATCTGTACCTCATTGTAAATATTGATTGAAAGCTGTTTTAAATATCTAATAAAACATGGCCAGTATGCAGGTTCTGTATTGCGATAATTCGCAATGGATAAAGTGGGATCGACCAGCTCTATCATAATCATTCTGTGTAATTTGTTACCAGACGTGTATTTTTTAAAAGAAAGAACTGCAGTCAAAAATTTGCTTGCCACACCCGGGAATCTAACCAACTAAAATCTGTTAAAAATTACACCCTGTATTTTTATTACATCGATCGTTAGGGTTAAGTATAAGGATGAAATCTCTCTAACATACTTGATAAATCATACTTCCGTCTACGTATTGCCATCTGGCGGATTTTTCAATCGCAAACACCCTCATTAAAAGAAAACCATGAAATCTTAAATAATTTTAATTATTTTATAGAAAATCGTATGGTATGGTAGTGAATTTTCAAAAAAAAATCGAAAATCTTTGAATGCAGTTCTCTTTCTTTTCAAAAATAAAGGAATGTTTTCTTTCAGTAAAATTTTCTATCTGCAGGATTAAGATTACTTTCCCTCCAGTAGGCCTAAGATGCGCGTCGTGATAACTTTTATCGACGTCAAAATGTATGGGCTAAATCAATAAAATGGCATGATAAACGCTTGTCGCGGCGCGCATCTTAGGCCTACAGGTGCACAGTGTTTTATTTTGGCTTAGAAGCGGACATCCCTGTTTTATTAATTCAATCGTTAGATATTACTATTATGTATAAAATTAATGAAGGAACTAGTAGTTGTATTTGTTTAGTTTCGAAGAAATATTCGATTTTGTGATTTTATAAAAAAAAAACAGTTTTAGAAGCATATTTTCTAAAAAAATTACATTAAGTCAGAATTTTGTAAATAAATTTACCTATCACTATAACTTCTACCTTTAAAAATAAATGGTTATTGCTGCAGTTATTTAGGAATTATTTAATAATTTATGATTTTCAGAAAACATTTTCTTCTCCGTTGTCCTAGAAAATTTGGCAATTATATTTACTTTATATTGATGCATGATATAATTATCTATAATACCTGAAAATATTACTTGCCTATCCCGTGGGAGTTCGATGATACGACTAGAAAAATTTAAAAGTACAAACAAAAAGTACTCGACACGTATTTTTCATTTTTTCAAACTAATGAAAATTTAAAGAGAACACGCGATAAAGCGCGCTAAATTTCATGAGAAGAGGCCCGTGACGTCAATGAGTGCTTAAAAGTGCAGCACGTAAAGTCGCGCGGAACTCTATGCACCATAACTTTGTAATTATTTGTTTGATTGACAATTAAAAATATACGTGTCCGATACTCTTTGATATTAAAATTGACGGATTAAAAAAATTTTTTTAGGATCGTAGCCTATTCAGGCGAATTTCCATTATTCCCCGTTGAGGCTTATTCCACTATTCCCCGTTAACGTTAAATTGGAACTTATAATGGGGAATAATAAACTAAAAAGTTCATTAATCCCCATTACGTTCAAAATAAAATCCTAATATAACGGGGATTAATGAACTTTTTAGTTCATTATTTCCCATTATAAGCTCCAATTGGCGTTAACGCATATCTGTCAATGGGGAATAGTGGAATAAGCCGTTTTTTCTTTCATTTACCAGCCCTGTTAAGATTCTTGACTTAAAAATTCGGTCGCCTCGGGTTCGGGTGCGGAGTTCCACCTGAAGCGACGTCACTCATGAGTTATGGTTGCAGGTGGCCATCGAGTGCGACGCGGAGGTGCGCATGCGCGCGTGGGCGGCGCGCGCGGCGGGCGGCGCGCTGCTGGAGCTGCGGCGCTCGCGCGGCTGCGGGCTGCAGTTCAAGCGCCGCTACCTGCGCCTGCGCGACGCGCTGCGCCCGCTCGCCGAGCCCGACGACTGATTGTGTTAATATTATAGCTAGCGATATCACACTATTTTTGTACTGATTTTTTATAATAAACTCCTTTAAAATTAAATCGATTTTATTTTCACATAATGGCACCTGTCTTATCCTCGTAAGACCGATGTTAAATTTTTTAAGAAGGAGGTAAGACCGAAGGTCCTTCAAAAAGTACTAAAATTTTATACCCTGTCAGTCCCAGCACTTCATTATCCCACTGATGTCAGTTACTGGAGCTCTATGATGTATAGAGATAATCTACCGAAAAAAAAAACGCCTTGTTTTGGTCCTTCCTAAGGAACTTACGGTTTTACTAACTAAAAAGTGAAAATTGAAATTTCACATTTAGTTTTGGCAAGAATAACTCATCAATTTATACAGGGTGTTAGGTAAATGGGTGAGCCGACACTAGCCCATGTTAACATGGGCATTTAAATGGTATGGTCAAGTCAGAAATTCAATATCATCATTTTAATTTTTATACAAAATAAATTTTATAAAATCCGATTTGTATGAAAATTAAAATAATTAAAATGAAGATATCAATTTTCTGACTTCACCATACCATTTATATGCCCATGTTAACATGGGCCAGTGTCGGCTCATATACCCATTTACCTAGCACCCTGTATAGTTTACAAAATGTATTTAAATATACAATATGTCGATGAGTCGTTTTATTTGAAGTTTTTGTTTTAATAAACATTAAATATTTTTCCAACCAACAGGGCCAATTACTATCGACCGAAGGTCCTCTGTAGTGTACTATAAATTTGAATGTTCATAGATATTAGAACATTCGATGAAAACAAAATTTTTTTGCCTCGCGACATCAATCATAATTTCTGATTAAGGATTCTGGCATTAATAAGTAAAAACACTCAAAGATTTCACAAGTAACTAAAGATTTTCTTAACACATCGGCGCGGTCGCTCCATTTTGTCAAAGTAAGTGACATTGACAGCTGTCAGTGCGTTCAGGAATCCAAGCTCGGTTGGATACCCACTCAAGGCATTAAAGCCACAGATAAGACAATTCAATTACCATTTGGCGCGAAAATTTGAACAAAAACGGATGATGAAGTTTTGGGTCATTAGAAAGGACCTTCGGTCATACCTACTATACTTACGAGCAAAAGTATGGAATCATCCCCATGTGTTTCGTACCGAGCAATCTTAAGAACTGAATGATTATGTCGTTTATGCTCAGAATGCCAACTTCTCAAAATGCCAACCGCTCGCAAAATGACAACTTCTCAGAATGCCAACTTCTCTAAATGCCAACTTCGCGAAATGCCAACTTCTCAAAATGCCAACTTCTCGAAATGACAACTTCTCATAATGACAACTTACAAATTATAATGAATGCAGGAGCAGTGAATGCTACCACAAATAATAAAAATAATTAAAAAGTCCATATATTTACAATATCTCAATATCTTTATTTGTTACTATGTAATTAATCAATACACTAGGGTCATATCGCATCAATCTCTCATCGATTGAATGTCATACACCTACCTATACAGGGTGTTAGGTAAATGGGTATATGAGCCGACACTAGCCCATGTTGACATGGGCATAGGTATAAATGGTATGGTGAAGTCAGAAATTTGATATCATCTTTTTAATTTTCATACAAAATAAATTTTATTAAATCCGATTTGTATGAAAATTAAAATAATTAAAATGAAGATATAAATTTTCTGACTTCGCCATACCATTTATATGTCCATGTTAACATGGGCTAGTGTCGGCTCATATACCTATTTTACCTAACAGCCTGTATAATAAATTGTTACAATCATTGTCAAAATCAGATAAACAAAAACCAGGTAAGGTCTGTAACAGCAAAACAATTATTTTACTAGATAAATTAACACATTACAAGGGCGATATAGTTTTGACAAGTATAACTTGTGCATTTTTTACAACTACCCTCATAACGTAAATTTTCGCCATACACTAATTTATGATTTAAATTGTACTGTGACCTTATCATACACCATAGTATAATTGTTTTCATTATAATTGTAAGTTGTCATTATGAGAAGTTGTCATTTCGAGAAGTTGGCATTTTGAGAAGTTGACATTTTGAGAAGTTGGCATTTCGCGAAGTTGGCATTTTGAGAAGTTGGCATTCTGAGAAGTTGTCATTTTGCGAGCGGTTGGCATTCTGAGCATAAACGGATTATGTATGTATCTGTGGTATCAATTTAAAGTTTATAATATTACCTTTAAAATGGTACCATTTTTATTTGCCTCCTATTAGTCATTTAGTTTTTGTGATCGCTCGAAACAAATAGGGTGATTCCATATTTTTGCTCGCGAGTGTAGATTGATTTTCAAATGTTCAGGACAGAATGACTATGAATTTGGTTCTTTTGAAGGGACCGACGGTCTTATGAAGTTATAGATGAACTATAGACCCACTGAACTGTCCTATCCGTGACATTGACAGGGGGCCCCACCGTCAATATCGGATCGCTGGTTCCAATGTTTGCCACGTTGGAAACTACACTCGCGAGCAAAAATATTTGATGAAAAATAAATTTAATGTGTTTGGTGGGACAGTACAGTTCAGTGTAGTTCATCTATTAGCACGCTCACAGATGTAAAAGGTGTCTGCCTCGAACCGTGTCTGACACACTCGATGTCCGTAGATATAAACGGACCTAAACGTGCGCACTTACATATACCACTGAAGAAATAGTTGGCCGTAGCGACCTTTATTAAAACTTATAACTAACCGAGTGGGTCATCTGGTAAACGCATGATTTTTTGCAGGAAAAATACCATAATTCATTAAAGTTCTAATGCTGCGTTTACACTGCGCGGAAATTAGCCAAGTCAAGTCAAAAAAACAGGAGTGGGGATGAAATTCATTCATAATTCATCCCCACTCCACTGATTTTTTGACTTGACTTGGCTAATTTCCGCGCAGTGTAAACGCAGCGTAATATAGGTGTCGCTGGGGCCAACTATTAGTGAGCTGCCACACTGGCGGATTGCAACGAGGCGGAAACATTGCGCACCCGTCGCGCAAACGCTAGGCGTGTTCGCTGCGTCGCCGTTCCGCTTTGAAATCGCTTGCAATCCGCCAGTGTGGCAGCTCACTTAATGGTGGTTCGATAAATCAAACAAAACCCAACATTTTATTACAATGTTTAATACAAAATTGCCTTAATTTTCACGGCGCCGACAATATTTAGGTCGAGACTAGAGTGGCGTTATAAGTCTCAACGCTCGACTCTTAGATACATCAAAATATACTACAAAATTAAACCACGTCTGGGACTCCAGACTCAAAACTTATCCAACCTGAAGCGTAAGTTCATTCTATCACGCACACAACTTAATTAAAATTATTACATTAGTTCCTGTGATTCTGTCCCTATTACAGATGATGTAGACTAGAAAATGAGACAAGCCGTGGTTCAATTTTAAGCGGGTTTTCCACCGCGAGCGGAGCGAACCCGTTAAATGACTCGCATTAACCTCGAAATACAATATGCATAACATCTGTTTCCACCAACAGTCGAGCGAAAATGACAGAGGGCAAAAAGAGTAAAAAAAAATCACTACCCACATTCTCGAACTCATTTCAGTGGAAAAGCAATTCTATTTTATACGCACGAAGTCCGCTCCGCTAGATATACCTAGTTCATTCCTCTTTGGCGGTGGAAAACGAGCTTTACTGTTTGCTACAAAATGAGGGTGTCCCAGAAGGATAAAACTCGAAAAATAACTCCTTTACAAAGGAATTAACACAATCGACCAATAATTCCAAGATGACGCGTAATTTTTAATTTTTTTTTAGTAGATAGCTTGAACTTGAAATCAATAGTTTACAGTTCATACTAATTACTGGGCGGTGTAGTTTGGCGACGCACAGTGGGACGGATTTCAGATTTGTGGACATAGCACTTTTTTGTTACACATTTTTTTTTATTATGCCAATCGATAGCCCTAAATATGGTGATCAGCCGGGCTAGGATGCGCGCCGTCATATAATTTATCGACGTCAAAAATGGGCAAAATCGCTAAAATGGCGTGAGTGCACATCCTAGGCCTACAAATATTAATTCTGAGTATTTTTTCGTAAACATAATACATAAGAGAAAAATTTAATATCAATAAAAAGGTATGGAAAGATATCCAAAATGTTCCATAAGTACCAAGTCTTGGAAGATCTCGGCTTGATAAATTTATAGTAGGACGTGTAAAAATGCTTTTTTTAAGCCTATTTACAGAAATAAATGAGTTTTATGAGTTAGTATAATGAGCGTTTATGAGTAACGCCACATACACACTATTCTCCTGATATGAGAAGTTTTTGTCAAAAAATATTTCAAGTACTAAAAAGAACAACATGAATATTATGGGCTTTACGTTTTAATTTACAAAATTGCTTTTCTGTGTCACGCTAATGTCCGCTAATATCACTTAAACATTATGTATATCGATATCGAAAGTGCTATGTCCGTAAATCTGAAATCCGTCCTACTGTGCGCAGTGCTTAGCTTTGCGTGTGGAACTGTAGTGTGAACTACTCTATCGCGGTGGTTAGCGATTCAAGAATAATAAGTCTTAAAATCTCCTTTTAGGACTTGAGTTCGTAACATTGTTTTATTTATAAATATGACAAACGAGATTCGCATTTTCTTATACTTAATTAGTTAGTCGAATACTAAAGCTTTAGAACTACCGACTCTAGGCAGTTAGATGGGTTCTGAAAGATTCCCCAATTTATCTTGCCTGTCTGAAACACCCTTTTACTATAGCTATACACACATTAGTTAGAAAGATTAAAATCTGCGATATATTAGTATAAATACCCGTACCGTAACAAAATTGGACGAAAACATAGTTACTGTATCGCTAGGTACAAATAAGGTTATTCGTGTTTGGAGTCCGTATTGAATCATCGACGTTTGACATACCTGCCATAACTAATATTTATTTAAGTAAAAACTAATGAGAAAGGGCAGTTCATGAAAAATATGTCGTGCCAAAATCATTTCACATATTTGGCAGGTCATAATGTCGTCACACACCGCAAATGAATATGACGTAGATGCACGCGAGGTCAGCTATAAGTCAGTCTGTCAACCACCATGGCTTTTATGTGTAGTTTACTTACCTTAACACGTCGACGCGCAATTAATATTGGCAGATAACAGCACAAATTAAATTTGAAAGGGATTTTATTTACTTAGCTTAAAGCTCAGGTATTAAAATATTAATCAATTCAACGAGAGAACATAACTTATTAGACAATATTGCTAGTTTATTGCACGTCGATGAGCAAACCGACTTCGACAGCGTCACAAGCGGCCAGCTTTAGGCCGTCACCCACTGCTATATCGATGTTAATATTAGGGGTATGTAGGTACAGGGTGCAGTTGGGTTGATTCCGAATTTCTACCGAGACTTCACAGACATTGTGGAGCAGACGAGGGCTCGGCGCAGCCCGCGCAGTTTTTAAAGGATTTCAAAATCGTAATGGCTGTCAGCGCCTCCCCTCGCATGCTAAAACAAGCGACCGATCTTAACAGTCGCGGTTTCAGATAGCGTTGTTTACTGATGATTTATAAACGCGCGGAAAAGTCGCGGCAAGTCGCCCCGGTATCGCCCTCTTCGTTGATATGTTTATTGCACTTTCGATTCACATCATCTCACTGAAAATTTAATCGATCGACGTCAGTTATTACGTCATTAAAATAATAAATAGATATCAAATCGACACGAATAGTATAGTAACCCTTAACTACTTATCTACTTAGACTATAAATACCTAGCCGGTTACAATCGGAACTCGGTGCCCGCAGCGAGTCGCGCCGCGCGCTCGGCGACGTCCCAACGTCGTCGACGACGTCTCAAGAGTTAGTTCCGCTCGTGGGCAACTTACAGAGTCTTCGCCTTTTCTAACAGTTCGTTGATAAATTTCTGAAATAAGTAAAAGACTAGTCATAATAAGTAGAGGACTTTCAAAGGAAATCATAATTTAACTTACAATCACAATAACTTACATTTACATCTTTTTGAGGTTTTTTGGCATCGGATAGTAAGGTCTGTAACAATAACAGTAACAATAAATAGAAACAGAAAAAAACTTTATTGACACAGTAATAGTCCAGTCATTTGGTACAAAATAATGGGGTTACCTAGAAAGTTTTCCGGGAGTAATGAAAATTGGTATTTATATAGATTTTGATATGCTCTTTCCGATTCTAGTGGTAAGCCTTTAGACACAGAGGTCCTGGGTTCGATTTGCCAAACGGCTAACCTGGAAATCATTTGGGGAAATAAATTCTTTGTCAAAACGCATATTGAAGCATACTTTGCGGGCACTCCCACGACAAAATTATTGATTTCACAAAAAGGTTATGTAGATATCAAAAATAGGAAATTTTCTCTAGATTTGGTTTCCCTAAGCGTGTTTTATCAAAAAAATTATCGCGAAAGAAAATATAAAAAAAAAACTGCTACTAGGCAGCATTTTACCAATATGGCGGCGTGAGCGGCAACCATACGAGGTCGTAAAGTTGAAAATCGGAAAGAGCATATCAAAATCTATATAAATACCAATTTTCATTACTCCAGGAAAACTTTCTAGGTAACCCCATTATTTTGTACCAAATGACTGAACTATAAGTAATTAATACCTACATAATAAACAACAACACATCTAAAATAAATATAATAGGGTCCCCCGCTCAGCATTTATCTAAGCAAAGGGCCTAGTGTGAGTTTACGTCAAAAAATGACATAAAAATGTATGACGGATTATACAGCGCCCCTAGCGGAAACGTTCAAGAACTAAAATTTTTATACATAGTGAGCGCGTTTAGTGTAAACTCCCACTCAGCCCACTGGTCTTCCGCGGACGCCCTTGCTATCGGCATCGCGCATCCCCCTGAGGCAGTAAGCCAAATGCAAACATTTTCTAGACGTCACGTCCATTTATTTTTCTCAATCAAATTGCGCAAGTACACTATGCGGATAATTTAGACGATTATCACACTGCACCGCGGTCCGCGTGATTACATATAAAAAATCCCGCGCGCAGACGCGTTGTCAGTGTGTTGTGCCGCGCGTGTTTTCAATACAAACTGAGGTACTTGCATACAATGATTAAATCTGTCGTCCCGCGTACGGCGGCGGAGCGCGGTGCAGTGTTATAATCGCCTTACCGAGACGAAGCGCCAGCGTATTCACACTAAGTAGGTACCTATACGTCTCGGTAAATTTTCCGCATAATGTATTTGCGCCGAAACAAAACGTAGTGACGTCACACACGTGACGTCAGTGGCTCACCGCGAGGTGGCGGCGCCGCAGCTCGTCGCCGTCCATGTCCAGCAGCTCGTCCACGTCCACCTCCACCTCCGCGCCCGCGCCCCCCGCGGCCCCCGCGCCGCTGCTCTCCTGGAACGAACACACGATTGGCAAACGACAGATCCTGGAATGTTGTAAAGCCCGGTCTGTGAGCACGTAGAATTTTGTCCAATGACCCCAAGCTTCTTCTCAGCACTGGCCCATTTATTGTCCTGAAGCAGTGGTAGGGTTAATACTGGGACGTGTAAAAGTGCTTTTTTTAAGCCTATTTACAGAAATAAATGAGTTTTAATGAGTTTTTTTTTTTACCCATCCTTATCACTCGCGCGTTGCTGTCGCGACTGTGCGACGGGCGCCCGCAGTGAGTGTGCGAGCGCGACAGCAACATAATTACGCGCGAGCGATAAGGATGGGTAGCTTGGGGTCATTGGATAAAATTCTACGTGCCCACGGACCAGGCTTTAGTAACAAATTCAAATTATTTATTGCATGTCACATGGGTAAGGGTTGACAGGAACATAATATAAACACAAAGTACAGATAAAAAGGATAATTTGTAAACTTTTAGTGTTATAACTTGCTTCTGATTCGTTTTACCTATGACTCTTTAACTTTAAAGTTGGGTGGGTTATAAACCGCAACTCCCCGATAATCCACGCTAAATTTTGTCAGTGTGCCTGTGCGTGCGCGCCGCATACGTATTGGCGCGCTCACATACAAACCGCGCTCGGTGCGTTTCTATGAAGATAACCTACTCATTTGTATTTACTCTGCTTCAGGCAACTTAAAAAAGTATATTTTGTATTTCTATTATTAATATTAGTTTATAACCCACCCAACTTTAAGTCTGTCACTCATGCAAGGTTAGCGAAAAAAGAGACAAATGTTATATAATTCCATTCCATCCGATACATCCCATCGGAATTCTTTAGGCGGCTTTTGGCGCATCCTAGAACCAGTTCATTATTCTACGAGTACACACGGAAAAACTTAAGTAAAGAACGATGGGAATCCGGACAAAGCTTACCGGGAAGCGCGGTGCGGCAATGTTTCGCCGGGATGGCGTGGGGCGGACGGGGTAGACTCAGCATCATCACACACACTATCTACAGAAACTGCCCGTCCCTGCCTCATTAATTATCCCTAGCGCTCTTCTCACTTTCTTGCGTGGCAAACGCATGGCTCAAAAATCAAAATCAAAATTTTCTTTATTTGTTTAGACTAATTAAATTAGTACTTGCAAATCGTCAAATGCTCTTAAGGCGGGCTCAAATGGCGGTTACGACAATGTCGTGGTCCCATGTACTTGATTAATATTTGGTAATTGGTGGGTAGTTGTTTTCTGTGAATTCAAGGGTAATGCTGCCGGTAGGTACACTATGCGCCTCGACATTACGACTAGTAAGTCAACCCTAAGTCAAGTCGCGTGTTTCCACCCTTGGACAACCTACCCCCCTAGACAAAACGCACTTTTTGGACGAATCGAAAATCGAATCCGTCAAAACTCCATACAAAAAAGGGGCTTTTCGATCACTTTTCGACTGGTTTGCGATTATAATTTGCACTTTGTCTAGACCCACTGGCAAGTAAAGTTCGTCAAGTCACACGCGACATGACACCACCACTGACAGTGTTGCCAAGTCTCAAAAATGTCAGTAATAAAAGAGGTTGTAGTAGTACGAAATTGCCTATTTTTTAAATATCAGGTTTTGTCGCATCATTAGTACATCTAAAAATACGTCAATGTCAGTTGACCATATTTGTTTACATTTTTGGAAATTTCTAAAGAATTGGACTGTTAAGTTCACTCGCCTTCGTGAGTCGCGTGAACTACACCTACTCAGAGCCAAGCTTCTAACTACACGCCCTAATTATTCTACAAAACCTAACAGGTGCCAATAGATATAAATTCCTAAATAAATGCATCATTCAGGACGCGGAGGCTTAATTCATTAGGTCAGTTGATGTCCTGATGATTACCAAATGACATTCAGTAGGTTCTCGTAGGTCACAACCACAACGACACATGTAGCAGGCCGGGAGCACTCGCGCCTTGGTCGTTTCTAGTACCCAAGGCGCCGACCACTATGCGGCAGAGGGAACACCCCAGGTTTTTGTGGGTTCGAGCCCCACATAACCTGCCGTCCCCCGGCGGTAGGTATGGATAGGCCATTTTCCTGGGTAAAAAAAAAGCCCGACAGCACTCACCGGCGCCTCGAAGAGCTTCTGCAGCTCGTCGTAGAGCCACATCTCCACGGCCAGGCGCTTGCGGATCAGCGCCATCTGGTGGCTGCCGTACTTCGCCGTCAGGAACTTCTCGCGGCGCTCCTTCACCTGCGGCGACAGTGGAAACTTATTGTTTATTTCATAATCATAATATTTTTACTTATTTATGTTTTCTTTTCGAGACATCGAAGACTACCATTCTTTCTACATTATTTTAGAGTTTGAGCGGAACCCGTTGCCGATATCGCCGGCGGTTTATACAGGGTGTCCCAGAATGGGTGAATCAAACTGCTAGGGGAGGTAGCTCTACTAATGTACTATCCCTAAAAAAATATTTATAAAAAATAGAGTTCGGATTTTTTTTTAAATTAAGTGCTCTAAACTCGAAATCTAGTCATTATTTCCAAAAGTTTGTTTACAGATAAACGAAGCGATCATGTACATTGGTCAATTAATATAAGTAAGAAAAATTACAAAATAAACTCCAAACGCAGCAATTATAGCCAGATACCTACTTAGGCAAAGGTGATTTACTTTCATTTTAAAAAAAAAATTTTTTTTTGTTTTTTGCGCTTTATTTTTTTTTCATATTTTTTAGGGATAGTACATTAGTAGAGCACTTCCCCTATCAGTTTGATTCACCCATTCTGGGACACCCTGTATTTGTCAGCGTAATCGTGCGTATCAGCTTTTGTAATGCTGCGTTTACACTGCGCGGAAATTAGCCAAGTCAAGTAAAAAAAAACAGTGGAGTGGGGATGAATTATGGATGAATTATGAATGAATTTCATCCCCACTCCTCTGTTTTTTTGACTTGACTCGGCTAATTTCCGCATAGTGTAAAAGCAGCATAAAGCACCAGCACCCAGCGTCGACGGCTCACCTCGCCCTTGTCGCTGAAGTTGACGTGCAGGCCGGACTTGGCCGGCGAGCGCTCCGTGGGCGAGAGCGCGGGGTGCGGGGCGCGCGCGGGGAAGGCGCCGGCGCCGGCCGCCACGCCGCACTCCATGCCGCACGCCGCGCCCGCTGCGCCCGCGCCGCCGCCCGCGCTGCCCCTCTGCTAACAACAACCAACGAACGATCTCAGTCCGACTTGTTCTTGTTTGACAAAACTTCACTCACTCGTCCTATTATGACATAAAGGGTAGGTAAGAAGTACACGGACATCCGCGATTCCTATGGAACGAATCAGCAGTACTTAGGCCCTTTCCAGGGCAATTTAGCTTCTGAAATATGTACGATTAATACATCGTATTACTTTAACATAAAAAATAGGCCAGGCAATAAAAAGGGAAAATATTATAGGGAAATGCTTGGAACACAATTATTGACTTATAACTTTGTTTGGATTAACTAGTTAGGGTTGGTTAGGGGGTGAACATTTCAAGATTTCTCGACCGCAACCTTTGAAGGTACCATTTTTGGGTTTCTCGCTTTATCTCACTCAGAAACTATCTTGATAAAAAAACTATCCTAGCGATATGACTACTTCTACAAAATGAAAACTAATTTAACTTTTTAAGTTAAGATACGTTTTTAAGACAAATTCGATATCTGGCAATATCTGCTTCAAAGTTTTGTAAAACATTATGTCATGTAATAGTAAATTATGGAAATAGTTGCCAAAATTTACTATTTATACCTGGATGGTAGTATTAGTTGGTACTAAGTGGTATGTAAGTATTTATCAGCTGACTTATAAGTCGACCTACCTACCTACATATTATTCTATGTATGTATAGGTAAGTATGTAGGTATGGCTTCGCTCGCAGCAACGAAACATTTAATAAGTGGTTAGGAAGGTGGTACCTACGTATTGAAAAGGCTCTGTCGAGAAGCCACGAGGCGAAAAGATACTATCAAACACAACCAAGCGTGTTTCCTCTGCGTAGGCATTATTATTTGTACTACAAAGATAATATTTACTGTACTAATAATAGACAAATCTGGTGTTATTTTGTGCTCTAAAGTGTAGTGAATTGATTTTGTAAAAATGTCGAGAATCTGAATTTGAAAAAAGAAAACAATATGAAAACTATATCTCGCGCGCACACAGCGAATCTGTCGTGGGCGTATCGTTACACGGAAACGATAAGTAATCTCACTCGATTATTTCTAAACTATACAAGATATTAAAATTGTTCCGTTTCCTTCCGTAATTGATTCGTTTCCCTACCTTTTAACCTAATCCCACCCTGTCTAAACGCAATGTCCGAAAAACTATGTCAAAACTGAAACGCAAAACTCAGTACTCAATAGTTTATTTTGCATAACCACATTAGCATTCACATTTTCAAGAACCCTGTTGCGGCTAAACGCAATCCACGAAAGCCATTTTCGGATTTGTCCAGTTTATTCAGTAATATTGGTACCGTTGTGAAGCACTTTCAGGATCAGTAAGCAGTTTTTCGATGTCTTGTATAGTTTAGAAATAATCGAGTGAGAACTTATCGTTTCCACCCTGTAGGTATACCTACTTGGTGTTTGCCAATTTGCAATAGCAAAACTCGATTTCTCGAAAACCGTTCGAGGAAAGGGCGTGAGAAGGTGACTGGAAACTTTTCATAGTTTCTTCATGCAATTTTAGTCATGATGGAGAGCTTTACGAAACAACATTGTGCTTTTTGTGTAATTTTTTTTACTCTATCTCGTTTAGAACGGCAATTTATTATTTTAGTAGGTAGCTTAATTTAATTCAACACGAGCGGATCTTTTACACGTGTCACGTTTTACAGTATTGAAATAAGTTGATCACTTATCTTTGCTGTCTGGCTGGCGTCAGAATCAGATTTAGTTATTCTAGCTAGTGTATTCACCCGCCGCGCCAGGAGGGGGCGGGCGCGGTGGCTGGCGCGACGGCGCGAGCAGGGGCGGGCGAGCCGTCAAAAGGCTTTTGTCCCGCTGAAAGCGTTTTGTTCCTTCAAGTTCCGGCAGCGTCAGGTGCGTGCGACAAAGACAAAGCACCAAAAACTGATAATAACGATAGGTAGATAATTCGCTTGCTTCAGCCGAATGACGCCACTGCTGGATAAAAGCTTCCCCCAAAGATTTCAACAACGACCGGCCCTGCGCCGCCCGCATCAAGGGATCTCCTGTGACCTTCACCAGATCGTCGTCGGTTCACGTAAATTACGTCTTCCGGCTCGTGATCGCTACTCGAGAACTTTTCTGCCCCAGCGACCATGAGCACTGCGAGCTATGTGCCCTGTCCACTGCCACTTGATTTTAGCGATTCTGCGGGCTATGTCAATCACTTTGGTTCTCCTGCGGATCTCCCCACTTCTGATTCGATTCCGCAGGGAAACTCCGAGCTCGCTCCGTCGCCCCTTGGGTGACCTTGAACCTTCTTATGAGGCCCATAGTAAGCGTCGCTTACTAAGCGACCACGTCTCAGAGAGAGATATGAACCATGATCATTAAAAAAAATTATCAACTCGATTTTACAATTTTTCAGTTTACGCAGTCTCACACGCAAGTTTTTGTTGTTTTAAAATCCAATAATTTTAGATTTCATTCAGCTTCTACAGTTATCAGTCTGCTTGGTGTCCTTATTAAGTTTTAATGGAACAATATTGTTATAGCGATAATATTGATAAGATAACTCGATACGTTATCAGGCCCAGGAGCTGCTTACGCCACAAGACAAGTATGCTGAGGAGGACTGAGGGCCTCTTTTATTAATTAAAAGAATCAATAAATACATTATGTATAGTGTTATTTACTTATGTATACGAGTTATATTTATTTATCACTGCCGATTGCTTTCTTATTTAGCCATATGAGAGCACATGATAGGGCTAAAGTGTGCGTGGCACAAGAACGTGTCTCTTACTTTCATGGTTAACATAAAAAATAAAGCGACAATGTTTTAATTAATTGCATTATGTAACTACANACTTTTGCTCGCAAGTGTACATATATTTTATATTAAACTTTGGTCGTTGCCATCAATTAAATAAAATAAAATGTCTATTGTTTTAAATATTACTTAAAAAAAACCCGACTGTTAATATTTGAGGAATGGAGTTAGTAATAAAGGGTCTAACTATTAGAAATCTAAAAATTATTTGAATTGATTTTCAAGAAAAAATATATCTTTTATATTCTACTATAGTAATCCCAAATTAAACAATCAGCGATCTCCAATAGTGTCTTGTACCAAAGCCGTGAATGATGGTTTTTCTTTTTTCAGAGAGGAGTTTTCGCGATATACGTACCTACTGTTTGTTTCGTGTCACAAACGATGAACAATATACCTACAACTTACTTAAGTACAATGTATGTTATGAATTACGTACACTCTCAGATCATAGCTATGATCTGAGCGTACACACAATCGTAACTATGCATTACCTATCGATTTTTTTCACATGCGCGTGAAATCTCCGAAAACCAACGAATAATAATTAGCCTTTACAATAAAGGTGGTATACTATTGTAGCAACAGACCGGCAAAGTGCGGGTCTCGCTCCGCCGCGCGCGCTCCGTCATACATCGGCTGCGCCGGCGCTGCTAGTTAGCGCAACTGAAGGAGTAAGCTAGGTATGTACATCGTGAAGTCGCTTCCTTCTGAACTAACCTGCGTTATCAAATAGCGCTGCCATACGGAACGGCTGCGACTGGTTTCTTAATAGCTTATTTTATGAAATGTGATTTGTAATGTGAAGTCGGTATATCTTATAGATAGAGAGTCTTAATGTCATCGTTTCCATCGACACAAAACATATACTTAGGTACAGATGTTAATCATGTCATGATGTGATGTCGAAAGTTGGAAACTGCTATATTAAGTAAGAATATAGCATTTTATTACTATTCTATTTAAAAAAGATACCTATCGATAAGTTACGTTATTCTGCTAAATAAATTGTTTTTTCTCTTATAGCTTGGCTGGAAAAAATATTTTCCTATCTCATCGATACATACAGGGTGTCCTAGAATGGGTGAATCAAACTGTTAGGGGAGGTAGCTCTACTAATGTACTATCCCTAAAAAGCAATCCATTATCACCTTTAATATTTTTTAAATCGAAATCTAAGTTGAATTTTTTATCGTGGTTTGTACTTTTGTCAAACTTTGGCGGCTCGTAAAATTTTGGCTAGCTATCCAATCATTATCTGGATCTGAAATTTATTTTATTTGACTAAAAACATATTCGATATTAATATCCAATAAAAAATGCGGTTGAAAATACGCAGTTTCTAGGTCAAATTTTAGAAAAAAATAAACAAAATCAAAAATATCAATTAAAAATAAAGTTGCTCACTTTGGGTCAAATGGCCGAAATTGTATTCTTAAAATGACCTTACCTATACACCCACGAAGTTTGTCTAACCTTTAGGGGTTGCAAGTCCCGGTACTAAGGAGTGTTACTGAATTACCGGTACCAGGTCTAAGCCAGTACCGGGGAAACCGGGAAATTCGGGAATTTCGGTACCCACGTGAATGGTTATTAAAACAAATTAGGTAGCTAATTTGTACGTAATTTAATAAATAGGTAAACAAAAATATTAAACTTTTTCTGTTCAGTTCAATTGGTCTGTTACCTTAATAATAAATCAGTCAAAACAGTTACACAACACGATAAAACTAGTTATAAATGCCCATTAAAAATCATAATAATCGTTTAATCAACCTACACTGGTCATCACAAAAATCGACCCACCCGCGACAAGCACTTTCAAACGTATGCATCCCCACTTCCCACCAATATTGGCACCATTTAAAAGCCGAGTTCTAAACTTCATTTCNAATATCAATTAAAAAAAAAGTTGCTCACTTTGGGTCAAATGGCCGAAATTGTATTCTTAAAATGACCTTACCTATACACCCACGAAGTTTGTCTAACCAACCTTCCGCCAAACACCCTGTATAATTGTATTTCATATTAATTATTTATCGTGTCAATTTAACATTTTTAATTTTTCTCTGGAATCCAACAATAGCAAAATTGTCGTACGAATCCCTTCGTGCGTGAGTCCGACTTGCATTTTATTTATTTATTTATTGACAAAGATCTACCAACAACACATCTTTACACAAACAAGTATTTTTTCCGGTTTTTTATAATTCGAGGGCCTAGTGTGAGTTTACATCAAACGTGAGCGCGTTAAAAAATGACATTAAATGTATGACGGATTGTACAGCGCCCCTGGCGGGAAACGTTCAAAAACTAAAATTTTCATACATTTTTTTATGTAAACTCACACTCAGCCCACTGTAAAGATATCGTTCTTGTTGCAGTTATATCAAAGCTTCAAGCTCAATGTTGAATCATCCATTGACTTCCATTTGTAACCGACTTCAACAAAAGGAGGAGGGGTGGGTTTTTTATTTTTTGTATGTAGGTAGGTACTACACCGATTACGCCAACTCCAAGAATATCAATCATGGTCTTAGATATGTGTCCTAATAAATAACGTAATATGTTTTCTACTTTTTAGTGTACTTTTTGGAGGCGGTTTAGTTTTTGAAGTTGGTTTTTTTAAACGCAGTTTTTTTTATTAAAATTGTTTGCATTTGTGGTTCAGGTATTACTGTTGACCGGAATAAAATTAATGATTAGGAGCTTCCTACTAGGCATAGGTACTACTACCTACCTATCTACATTCGCATTCCTGCTACCTACTGGCTTACTGAAGTAACAAGATTAAATGGATTCTATTTCATTCTACAGAGAGGTATTAGGTACCTACCTATTTATTTAATTAGATAGGCTAATGAGTTATAAAACTATGTGTACCGATCATAAGGGGATGATTTTAATATTCCATCCTAAAAAAGCTTAAGTAGGTACCTACTTAAGTATGTATTACAGTCAGCGTCAGATAGATCGAAGCGTTTAAGATAGCCAAAATGATCTGTTAAACGATATTTCATATCATAGTAACCAGTCAAAGTAAGCTTTGTTTGAAGCACCCAAAGTAGTTGTATATCTTAGCAATACTGTTCTCAATTTTATATGAGCTGTCAGGATGTTCAAAAATATATATGCAGCCCCCCTAGACAAAACGCACTTTTTGATCGAATCGAAAATCGAATCCGTCAAAACTCCATACAAAAAAGGGGTTTTTCGACCACTTTTCGACTGGTTTACGATTATAATTTGCACTTTGTCTAGACCCACAGACATACCTACAAGCTGTCATGATTTTTTCAAAATCCATTTCAAACGCCTGACTTCAAAAAGGTCCCTACAAGCTGTCATGATTTTTTCAAAATCCATTTCAAACGCCTGACTTCAAAAAGGTCATAACAAAATAGCTTAAAACTTTATTAAAAAAATATGTTAATCAAAATAAACCCTATCACTACTAGAGATTAAGAAAATAATCATTTTCCTATTAAGAAGTAAGTACTTATGACGACTACGCCTGCTTAGATACGATTGAACTATTTATCTGCATACATAATTATTATTTTTGAACATCCTCCTGACAGCTCATATAATATGGAGAACAATGTTGCTAAGATATATTGTTTTGAACGAAATGGTTGGGGCACCTTTGAACTTTATTAATTTCCTTTTTTAAGTGGTATTTTGAAACTTTAACTTTTTCCCTAGGTAGGCACNAAAATGTTAAAGTCGTAAGAGCCTTATGCCCGTTTTCACCATCAATCCCTTAAGCGTTTGCTAACTAAATAACACTTTGGTTAAACGATCGCCTAAACTGCCCACTAACCTAAGTTTGTTTTCACCATGCTATAGTAAACCTAAGTAGGGACTCTTTTGTCAGGTGGCGGCGTTTCATCCTGCGCCTAGTGACGTTTGAAAAACCGGTACTTTCCGATAAAATATTTTATTGGGAATATCTTACGTATTTCACAGAAACAAATGAAATAAAAGTAAAACTAAGAAATAGTTGACCAAAACTAATGTCTTTTTGTATTTTTGAGTTATTATCAAAGACAAAAAAGATATTTGGGCTATTATGTAATCTGTGGTTTGGGTGCATAATGTAATTCCTTTGCCTTAAAAAAAGTAAATGTCAAGATGACTGCTGCACCACAATAAATGAAATTAAAAATTTACATAATTGATTTTGATAGATATTTTGTTGAGTTCTGTGTGTAGTTTTGTGCGATTTAACGATAAAAACGACAATGGAAAAAAGAAATGAAGCAAATTTTTTCCCTCAAGGAAAAAGATAAATTGGTTATAATTTTACTTGCCCACAAGATAGGTCCATGCCCACAAGGATACTGTACGAGCACGTCAGCATCGACCGCGACCTACGTGCTAGCCGACTGGCCCATGAACCCTCAACGTGCACCGTAGGCACTCTACACCGACGGCACATTGGACTGGACACATTGAATTGTGTAAATCTTGTATAGTAGCAATAGCATAACAGTAATAAACCAGATATCAACCGTCCGCGTTGTGTTTCATTTACCCCCACTGAGTCCAAGAAAGCCTTAGTGCAGCCCTCCTTCCTATCAAATCTTTATATAATATCATTAATATCTAATTATAAGGTATTGTTAGGGCTCTAGGGACTACAAACGAAGTCAGAAATATAGCTTGGTTATGAGAAGTTATGAGTGACCAATACCTATATACTATCTATACCGTATGTAATCCTGTCTCACTCTATAATATTATTATGTGGCCGCCTGAATAAACTTGAGTGAAAAAGTGTTTTCACTGTCTCAATTGCATAAAAAGCTTCAAAAAAATCATTAAATTCAGTTTCCATTTTGCCGAATAGACGTGATTGACAATATAACTGTCACCTAACACTTAGGCGGTCGAAAATCGGGCCCCTGTATTAAAGTGATCCCATAAGGCCTAAGTTGTCCCTTATGTGTTGGTGAAAACGAAATTCCTGTTAGGTATTACCTAATATTTCATAAAAGTCGCTTTAAAATTAGGGATTGATGGTGAAAACGGGCATTAATATACCGAAGTAGGGGGCACTTACCTTACATAATGTACTTAACCTTAGGCCTTTGAGGCGAGAGCAACACAAAATATCTATCAATTAGGTGTTTATCCTACTTCCACACTATGTTGTTTACACGAAACATTCACCTTGCCAAACCTAACTTACTTTAAAATGCCTACTACCTATAGTAAGAATTAATTTTGAGATGATATTGCAGCTACTTCATCATAATTTGATAGGTACATACCTAGCTACTCACAGCAGGTAGGTATTCAATAACTTATTTTTTTTTATAGTAATTATGTTGCTACCAACAACAAGTTAATATGTTATCATCAAAAACAACAAAATAGGTTCGGTACTTCGGTATCGGTACCGATACCTACCTCTCCCTAACGACCAGATTACCATAATATCATAGTTTGCACCTGGCTGAGTTAGTTTATAACTTACTACCAACTTACTTAGGTATGTGTTATTTTCCTGTTCCTTGTGAATACTTATTATACCAACTTATTAGGAAAATAAATAAAATAATGAATGACAATAATGAGGGTAGATTTCAGCTGGGCAACTAAGGAATTTAAACATTTATAGGTGTAATTACAATATTCAAAGTGGGATAATGTAATGGACAAATAAGACAAGACATGCGAAACGTGCGCGTTATGCGCCCACATTTCATCTCACAATACCGAGATCGCGACGGCGGTCAGTGGCCCCGAGAGGCCGCGGGAGCAATCCGCTGTCGCACACCGCGCCTTGCAGCCGACGAGTGGGCACCGACACAGAACACTGATACAGCGCACGCCACGAATCGGTCACACTGTCACACAGCACTGAGGCACGTTCGACGGACACAAGCGAGCGACGCCGCACGCTGCTGGCACTGTACTGCGCCCCGCCTGCGCCGGGCTCCGGGCGGCGGGCGGGGGGCGGTGACCGCGCACAGCTGATAGTGAGCCATTCCGACATCTCCGCTGTGTTTTGTGTCCGCTGTTACTAAAGTCATCACCCGAACTGCAAGCAGTGCATCAAAGACATAACACCTTGTTGCATTTCACGAGTTCGAATGTTAAACACGCAAGCTACAACCTACACATCAAGTAGGTACGAGAGCAACATAACAGTTCCACAGACTGGTGAAACAATTTGATCGCATAATGTGACTCAGGGACAGAACGCCCGGCTAGAATTTTACTAAATATCCCAACTGTAAGAGGACTTTGTTAGTAAGATCGACCCATGTTCAAGAATTATTTCATCGAGACAGTTCAGAAATTCCAACCAAATCGCAAACCTATACAAGTAACCCGAATTGATCAAGTGAACAAAATAGGTATAAAGTTTGCAATCGAGACACGGTTACATTCGAGACAGCTATTTCAGCTTTCCATGTACCGCAAAGCAAGCCACAGACATTCTACCTGCCAAATGAGTCAGTCACGAGACATGGGCATCGATCATGTCTCTAACAGTTGAGCTGAGGAGGAAGTATACAACAAAACTGACTGAAACTGTGTGAATGGAACTTGATAAAGATACACACAATACACACAACATCTAGATGTACAACACACACTCTCTTGTATCTATCAAATCATGCAATAGAAGAAGAGAGAGAAACCAACCGCATAGAGTAGTTTATAACTCGAAACTAATGCGAATCAAGTCCGAGATATCCGTTGTTTTGTCTTTGTTTGAGCATGAACTTTACCACAATACCGAATTGTACATCAGCTGGAATGAAAATGGAGAGTGACTGGTAAGGCGACTGGAAATGAAGCGCGAATGAATTTGAGACATTACAAATTAGCGCAGCCCTGGATATAACAAACAAATCATTATCCGAGATGAGAAAAGAACAAAAAAAACGAGAGAAACCTGCGCAAGGAGTTCCAGCCAGATACACCTCTTGAGAAAAAAAACATGAAAGCGAGTGATGCACGAAGCTTTGTCCCTTACCTACCAGAGATAATAATTAGGACATTGTCCTTTGGCGAAGAATATTATTTGAGACGTTATAGGTACCTACTATGCCTCCAACCTCCATTGACTATTGTTTAGTATTGTCAAAAGTATTATTTTTTGTGGAGGTAAATAAATAACGGGCTATCGAAAGGAAACATGCATGAGTTTTACCAAGAAAATAAATCTAAGATTAGCACTGACGACGCCACACATTTCAGACGCAATTTGACGCTACCTACATTAGTGATTGATGAATTCTGACTTTGATCATCAACTTTTGCTGTTGAAAGTCAACGTAGGTACACACTGAGCAATAAATGATTGGGTATTGTTGATTGATTAAAATAATATTTTATCTATATTCTACAGGGTGGAAACGATAAGTGATCTCACTCGATTATTTCTAAACTATACAAGATATCAGAAAACTAGTTACTGATCCTGAAAGTGCTTTATGAGCTCTATCAAACGGTATTAATAATAGGTTACAGAATAAACTGGATCTGTCTAAAAATTCAATGTTTCTAGCTTCCATACATTTGGTAAAGTCACATTAATTTAAAAAACTACACATGATATTGAAAAACTGGTTACTGATCCTGAAAGTGATTCAAAGCTTTAGCCAATGGTATCAATAATAGGTTACAGAATAAACTGGATCTTTCCAAAAATTCAATGTTTCCTTCTACCATACATTTAGTACCTACTACCAAAGTCATGACACTCATCTCTTGACAATATTATAGCAAGTAAATACTAAAACCAATGTTTTCCATGAGTGATTTTAAATAAGAATACAATTTATGAGTTTATTTTAAGTTTATTATTCAATAAAAAAAATACACTTCTAATATTGTGTGTCTGGCATACATTTAGTATGGAAGCTGGAAACATTGAATTTTCGGGTAGATCCAGTTTATTCTGTAACCTATTATTAATACCGTTTGAAAGAGCTCATGAAGCACTTTCAGGATCCGATATCTTGTATAGTTTAGAAATAATCGAATGAGATCACTTAACGTTTCCACCCTGTATACTAGCTTTCCGACCGCGGCTTCGCCCGCGTGGAATTTTTCGGTTTTTTATATAACCTATGACACTCGGCAATAATGTGGCTTTCTATTGGTGAAAGAATTTTTAAAATAAATATAAATTCATTTTGCAGATATTAGTGAAACATACGGTGTTGGTCGCTTGGTGGTACCACAGGTGGTACTGTTAAATTAACATTATGTACTGTACTATGCAAAAGCATCACTGGACTCCAGCCAAGGCGTGGGTGGTGGGCACTAATTCTTTAGATTAATTCTGTCCGCTTAGAAAGAACTAAAGAAAAAATCTCCAGCTATGCATGCTCCACACTCTGTGTAAGCTAAATATCTCAGATAGACGACTTACATGGAAAAAATATCAATATTTTTAACTTTCCGCTCAACAAGCACACGTCATAATTTGTCAAAAGGATTCATTCGCTCTAACCAGTTATTCCCTAAATTTTTACCCTCATAAAATGCTGTATGTACCTCACTTTCGCATGTTAGTAAAATTTAATAATATGTACCTATTTAAACCCATTATTAAAAGACACGAGATTACGATAATTTTAAAAATTATTTTTTGTTGAATGGATATTACTTGTATTAACACACCGATTCATGGGCTTGATGGATAAAAAAACACGTCAAATCAACAAGCCATCTTCATACATTTTCATCGATTCTTGTTCAGGTTACAAAGATAAATATTATGGCAAATTCCTATTGATATTAATTATGATTAGTAGGTACAAAGTTAGTTGCATTTGCTTGAGGCTATTTTTGAGAATATTTTTTTATTTTAATTGTGCTACTTTACTTAAAAAAATATAAAAATAAATCAAGTATAGACTGCAGGTAGGGGCAATTTAAACATCAGCATAGTTCGAGGGCGTGTCAGGGGCAGGGGTCAAGAAGAAAGGCAGGAGGCGGCCGAGCCTGCCGCGGGCCCGGGCCCGCCTCGGCCGCGCACCAGGCAGCCATTAGTAATGTTGTGTACTCACGCCGCTCCTGAACTTGAAGAACAGCGACATGAGGCGCGCGGTGCTGGGGCTGGGTGCGGGCCGCGGTCGCGCCGACACTGCCGCGCCCGCCGCCGCGAGCCCCGCTCTACGACGCCGACGATACGCGCCGCTTCAGCAGCCGGCTACCCTTTTCCCGCACGGGGATGGTCAATTGTGGCCGCTCGAAACTCGCTGAAAATTACATTAAAATATCAGAAAAGCCGGGCTGCGGTGCACGGCGAAACATAATTATTTATTTCTATTGAGCCGATTTAAGAAAAATGTTCACCATTAAAATCCTACATTATTTCATATAAGATAGCGGCCGCCCGCGACTTCGTACGCGTGGATCCCGTTTTACCCCCTTTTCCCGAATTTTCTTTGCTATAAACCTCACGGAGCCCGAGACCTTTCCAACGAATGCAAAACCGTGGAAATCGGTTCGTGCGTTCTGGAGTTATAGCGTCAGGGAGGAAAACCCAACTTATTTTTATATAATAGATGAACTTAGGCGGTACAAACTTCGCCGGGTCAACCATATCGTTAGTTTAGTCGGCGAATCCACCGATTAGTACATCAGCGGCGGGGCACGAGGCGCAGACGCGTTTGTATCGATCGGCGGCCGACTCGAGCCGTCCGGACGGGGCCGGTCAGGTGCGCGCAGCTCGCCGGAGCGGCCGCGCGTAGACAGCAAGCAGCGCCCGGCTGGAAGCGACATGCGCGTGCGGGCGGCGCTGTGGTGGCTGGCGCTGGCGGGCGCGGTGGCGCGCGCGCGCGAGCTGGACCCGGCGGCGTGCGGCGCGCGCTTCGACGTGCAGCGCGACAAGATCATCCGCACGGAGGAGTCGCGCGAGATGGGCGCGCGCTACCTGTCCGAGCTGGACGTGGGCGCGCGCCACGAGTGCCTGCGCCTCTGCTGCGAGACGGACTCCTGTGACGTTTTTGTTTATGAGGAAAAGGTATCCAAACTGGTGAAATGAAAAGTGATCGATATGGGGTTCACCTTCTGCCATTTACACCTTGAAAATACATTGGGTTCAGTTCAGAAACGTAGGTTAGGTACCTAGGAAATAGAAAACTACATATTATTATATTGGGGCGACGACGCAAGGGGCTATGACGCAGTTTCATACTGTATCTAACCGTTTGTTTACTCAAAGACTAGCCGTTACATTAACACTTGAGTGCGCTGCGCACTGTAGTACTGAACATACACGTACACAGAGACCATGCGTGATATCTAATTTACTTATTGAATAACACACTACCACCGTGTGCTCATTCAAGTGTCACAAATTAATTGATTTAAGTATACGGAGCAAATGTGCCGATTTACAGTGTTATAAACGTGACTATGACTGTTTATGACGAGGCAGGCCGGCAGCGCGCGGAGCTCATGCGGGCGCGAGTAGACGCCATCGATCGGACACGTGACCGTCGCGACTACATTTTATGAGGTCCTAGCCTCATGTAACCCGTTTAAATTACCTACACCCCATCTGAACATGGTTGTGTGTATGATCTGTAGCTGCTGTGCATGCTGCACCTTGTCAAAACCTACTTACCTAGTATATACCTTACTACATACGGAATAACAGCTAAATCGATTTGGTATACCTACTAAACTATTTAGGCATTTAGTTTTTCAAATATTTGATGAAAAATTTTTCTCTGCATCTCTACCTAAGTCGGAAGAATGTTTATTTTTGGAAAGAATATGTCGTTTTTAACAATTGAAGGAAGCTAATTCGCCTTCGAATTTTTTTAAAACAGAGAGCGCTTTTAACTGGACTGCGCCGTTTGTAAAACGCGGAATCTCATCATTTGCACTACTAATCACTTTGCGATCAACAAAATTGGCCCTCGGGTTTGGCCAAGGAACAATTGCTAGTCTTTCGCATAACATACATGCGAGTAGGCATACAGACTGATAAACAAACGTCATTATTACCTACCTTTGTTTGTGTCACGCAGTATCGGTATTGGATAATGAGTCCCACTTAACTCGAGTGGCGTCTTCCAGAGCCCGGGCAGCTGCTACCTGTTCAACTGCGGGCCGCCCGAGGACTTCCGCTGCAAGTTCACGGCGCACGGCAACTTCAGCAGCGGCGTGCTGGCGCTCAGCCGGCGCCTGGCCGAGCTGCAGGACCAGGAGCGCCTGGCGCGCCACGAGACCGCGCTGGCCGGCCTGAGGTGAGCAGCAGTTCCACTTACCGCACCCCATAGTGAAAAGAGAAAACTATGATATTGATGGCGCTTTGGCTCCGCAGAGGTGCGACGAGCTCGACGAGCACCAGCAGCACGACGACGACGCCGGCGCCCGCGCCCGCGCCCGCGCCCGCCGCGCCGCCTGCGCCGCCCGGCCCTCCTCGTACGTACCTATACATCACACGGCCACGGGGTTCCCTACGTAGTTTCGAATGCCGCTGTTGCGACGAACGACGCTGTTTCGCAAAACATTTTCATTCGCAAAACATCGTCATTCGCTACTACATCACGTTGATCACGTCCAGTTACGACGACATGCGCGACAGTGTGTAGTATCTCGAACTATTCGAGATACTATAGTTACTATAATTCGTTACGACGACATGTCGTCGCAAGTGGAATTCATTCGAGTCCATAGACCATAGAGCTTTCAAAACTATGAGGCAGTGGAAAAAAAATTTGCTCCAGCGGTTATCGCTCCAGGGACATTCGAAACTGCACAGGGACCCCTGCCCGGGTCGGGTCCCGATTTCCGAAATCAAATCAAATCCGGATTATTTTCCTCATTTTTTAAAGGATTTTTGTGCCTCTTGATCCTTAAATTCCCAGTAGGTTAGATTAGGCCCTGTGCACACCCGCGAAGCGAGAGCGTGATGATGATCCAAACGCGCCCTCGCTCCGGCGAAGGCGGAGGGACCAGAGGAGACGACAATATGATCGCCTCCAGTTTCCTCTCCTCGGTGATGGCCAGCGGGCCGGGGGCGTGGGGGCGCCCCCGCCTGCACTGCACAGGCCACCACCACCGTCGGACGGGAACAGCTGTGTGCTCCTAGCTGCTCCCGTCGCCCCCCGTCCTAGGGGACCTGTAGGGCCCGCCGTGTAGGCGGGCAATCGCCGTGAGGGACTGTGGTAGTGGCTTTGTCCGGAATCTCACAGTTCCTTCCCACTTAAGGCAAATGACGGAGCACCGAGGTCTTTTTACTGGGTATGCCTTGTCCTTTTGACTTGGTGAGCCCCACATAACCCTGTCCCCGCAGGGTAGGTATGAAATTCAATGCATTTTTTCCCCGATAAAAAAGGCCCTGTGCACATGACTTGTAGATCAAACATAATCGTAGGTAGGTAGGTACTTCAATATCTTCAATCACATCACACGCTACTCGAAATAGGCAGGATAAGATTATACTGGAAAACAGGCCAAGGAAGTAGAAAGAAGCTGGTAGGTACTACACTGTTGATGTGACTGGTTACTAACCTGTTGTCGCAAAAGGAAGATGGAAATAAAGTATGTAGGTACATAAGTATGTGCTGTGCATTGTAGCTACCTCGGTAGTAATATTAAACTGGTTTTATAATTTAACTATCGGTCTGCGAATTTCATCGAAACTTCAGCGTGTATTCGTAAATTGTTATAATTTCGTGACAGGACAGGAATAGATTGCGTCTGTGTAGGTACCGTGTACCGTTTCTGTGATGAGTCACGAGTTATGGTTGGATGAATACTACGCAATCTGACCTGCGTCGCGTGCTAGAAAAAGGTCATTTCACTACATTACAGGGTTTAAAATTACTTCAGTTTTACTTAGGTAGTAACTTCAGTTTTTTAAGGTTTTGTTCGGGGGTTTCAAAGAATTCGGGTATATGACAGTACCTAATATAGTTTACCTGAGAGAAGTGCAAACGATCGCGTCGTGAGTCAGCCAGGGCGCAGGTTCGGGCCTCGGGCGCGATGGCCCCGTGTCTCGCTAATGACGCTGACTCACCGCTCGCGGCAGCGCAGCCTCGTAACGGCATCGGCATCGCGCATTGTACTTGAACACTGAGACGCCACTACCTTTTTGGGCTATCTCCGTAGTTCCGTACACTTATTTTAGCTTTTTAAACAACTAATGGTACCTACCACGAGTTTGCAGTAGGTTGGGTAGTTTGCCCAACCTCCGCAATAATTTTAACGATTCAGTTCAGTGGTACTCACTTAAGTACCTACTTATAGCAAAAACAAACAATGGCGTATACAGTGCAGCGCACACAATGGACACTGGGTAAGCATCGGGCTAATATTAAGTAAATATTTATATGCGTACCTAAGTGAGCATCGAATAATTATGTTTTGTAATCTTGACAACTTATTTAAAGTATTTCATTGTAGAGGCGCGAATTCGCCCTCAAGTAAGGGCGTGTGCACTGTTCAGTGTGCAGGGTTCGAAAGGATAACTTTATCAATGATAATTATTACGATAACTATCGTGGTAAGGGGTCATCCATAAAGTACGTCACACGTAAAGAGGGGGGGAGGGGGTCGAAAAAGTGTGACATGGTGTGACAAGGGGTGGGAGGGGTCCTAAGTTTCGTGACATCACATTTCAAAATCTAATATAATAATATCTAGAGGTACTAATCGCGTAATTTNGGGGTAAACAAATCATGAAATTCGTGTGACGTACTTTATGGATGGCCCCTAATAACAGATGGATAATTATCCTACTAATACGTATTACATTCCTACTAATATTATAAATGCGAAAGTTTGGATGTCTGGGTGTTTGTTACTCTTTCACGCAAAAACTACTGAACGGATTTTGATGAAAAAAATAAAAAGAAAATTACTCGGTCCTCGCGATATCTAAGAGATATAGTTTGTTCGCCAAGGTGATCAAAGTTCTTGAGAGCTCTTGAGATTTTAGGAGAAGCCCGAGTATGCATTACAACAACGTGGCACGGTGTACGGTTCCGAAGCAGGGCGGTGCAGTCGCTACCAGTTCGAGTGCCGGCGCGGCGGCGAGTGCATCGCCGTGTACAACGCGTGCGACGGCGTGCCGCAGTGCGCCGACGGCAGCGACGAGGCGCCCGAGCTGGGCTGCCCCGCGCCCGCGCCNACGCCACCAAAGCATCATACACCAATATCCTCATTCCAGGTGATGGACGGGCACACGGGGCGCGTGGGCTCACTCGCTTGGAACATGTACATCGTGTCGTCGGGCGCGCGCGACGGGAACATCGTGCACCACGACGTGCGACAGCGCGACCACGCCGTCGCCACGCTCGCCGCGCACTCGCAGGAGGTAAGCGGGTTAATAATAAATAAATAATAATAAATATCCTTGGACATTTTACACTACGCTTCTAGTCCCAAACTAAGCAAAGCTTGTACTATGGGTACTAGACAACGGATAAATATACTTAAATACTTTTCAACCGACTTCAAAAAAGGAGGAGGTTCTCAATTCGACCCGTATGTTTTTTTTTTTTCTATGTTTGTTACGCGATAATTCCGCCAATTATGAACCGATTTGAACAAATCTTTTTTCGGCGTATAGGTAATACCTCAAGGGTGGTCCCATTTAAATTTAATAATAGAAAAAACAACCCCCAAGGGTGGAAAATTGGGGATGAACTTTTTTATACGCAATATTTTTAATTTTTAGTTTTTTTTTGTGTTTACGCATCTGAAGTCGGTTTTATTTTTTTTTAAAGTTAATTATTTTAATAAATTCATACATAGTAACACCCAGACCCGTCACAAATTCAAATTCATCATTTCAATTTCTGAACGGCTGAAATTAGAACCCAGGACCTCTCGGCATAGTAATCCGTTCCGAACCACTACACCAAACGGCCGACGGTTGATGAATAATTGGAGTAAGTGCCGATCTAGCCGCCAAAGGTTGCGATCGTGTCCATTTTGCCGATTTATTCTAATCGTGCTCAATGAGGGCTATCGTTTTAGCGCTCACCAGTTTGCACCACTGTAGACGTCCTGTCACTTGCTAGTAGCGAAGACAGTGGCGCCAACTGGTGAGCGCGAAAGTGGTAGGAGGACTATCGTATTTGCATTCATCAAGATGGCGCCACTGTAGAGTAAGGTCCTGTCAATCGCCAGGGGTGCCAACTGTTAAGTATAAAAACGATAGCCCTCATTGCTTCGTATCTGCTCACAGCACTTAAAGTTCAGCTTTTCCGATTGTTTTTTCGATTTTGAACAGCTTTTTCGAGCGTAAGTTATAAATTAAACTCAATTATTTATTACAGATTTGCGGCTTGAAATGGTCGCCTGACGGTCGATATCTGGCATCTGGTGGAAACGACAACCTGCTTAACATCTGGCCTATTGTCCAAGGGCAGCACTATTCCCAGCCACAGTACCTCTACTCATTCAAGTAAGTAACTACATAAAACATTATTCTCATCTCTCCCTCCCCTTTTATTAACCATTTCACCACCGTCAATGAGAAAGCAATAATTTTGCTCAAATCGTCGACCACAAAGCAGCAAAGAGTGGTGTGTTACACCAAGTTTTTAGTGAGTCATAAATTGCTGGCTTCTCTCCCAGTAGGTATGGACAGAGACTACTACCTGAGATAAAAAAAAGGATTAAACCAAACAGGTATTGCCTCTTACTCTGTTTTACCTTTTGTCTTTTGTCGTTTTGACTGCAGCTACCACTTAGATGCCGTAAAAGGTCTCGCGTGGTGCCCGTGATATTGTTGCATAATAAGTGACGCGTCGCGCTGCTCAAATAATTCTCGAGTTTTACTCAAATAGATATAGCCTACCCTACCTTTATCTCGTTGCTACAAGTGTGATATTACCAGCTAGTACTTGGCAGCCATGAAAGGTCTCGCGTGGTACCCGTGGAGTTGTTGCATAATAAGTGACGTGAAACGCCGCTTGGAAACGTTTATTACCTCATTGCCATAATCTTTCCAGCCAGCACCTAGCGGCCGTGAAGGGTCTCGCCTGGTGTCCGTGGAGCGCGGGCGTGCTGGCGTCGAGCGGCGGCACTTTAATACCCCATATCTCTATCTCTTTGCCTTAAGTAATCATTGTGATTGCAGCTATAGTCCGGTCGCTGAGCACGTAGAATTTCGTCCAATGACCCCAAGCTTTTCCTCATCGCTTGCACGTAATTATGTTGCTGTCGCGACTGTGCGACGGGCGCCCGCAGTGAGTGTGCGAGCGCGACAGCAACATAATTACGCGCGAGCGATAGGGATGGGTAGCTTGGGGTCATTGGACGAAATTCTACGTGATCGGCGACCTTACTTTAGCATCTAGCCGCCGTCAAGATGCTAGCCTGGTGCCCGTGAGTGAAGCCATTGTAAATGACGCGCCGCTCAAATGGTTATCTAGTTTTCCAAATGCGTCTTTATCTCGTTGCTATAACCAACCATCATCGTTCCAGCCAGCACCTGGCAGCCGTGAAGGGCCTAGCTTGTTGCCCATGGAGCTGTTGCATAGTTAGTGTCAATTAACCAAATGTGTAATTATATCTATCTACCTACCTACCTAATCAATAATTGTGTTTCCAGTGCCTTGGGTGCCCTTGTAATTGTTGCATATTACGTATTGCGGTTCGACCTTTAACCAAATGTGTAATTCTACCTACCTAATCAATAATTGTGTTTCCAGCCAGCACCTGGCGGCCGTGAAGGGTCTCGCCTGGTGTCCCTGGAGCGCGGGCGTGCTGGCGTCGGGCGGCGGCACGGCGGACCGCACCATCCGCATCTGGAACGTCAACACCGGCGCCAACCTCAACACCGTCGACACCAAGTCGCAGGTAAACGGATATTATATAATTAACTTTTTTAAAAAATAAAACCGACTTCAAATGCGTGAACACAAAAAAAAACTAAAAATTAAAAATATTGCTTATAAAAAAGTTCATCCCCAATTTTCCACCCTTGGGGGTGAAATATTTTCTTCAAATTCGCATGAAACCACCCTTTTGATAATACCTATTTAACAAAAAAATAATCGTTCAAATTGATTTATAATCGGCGGAGATATTGCGTATAAAAAAGTTCATCCCCAATTTTCCACCCTTGGGGGTTGTTTTTTCTATTATTAAATTTAAATGGGACCACCACACCTATACGCCGAAAAAAGATTTGTTCAAATCGGTTCATAATTGGCGGAGTTATCGCGTAACAAACATAGAAAAAAAACATACGGGTCGAATTGAGAACCTCCTCCTTTTTTGAAGTCGGTTGAAAATCTTGATCACACGCACCGAGTAAACGGGCGAGACAGTACAATGTTTACTCGGTCGAGACAGTNCGCCGCCGCCGCCGCCGCCGCAGGCACCACTGAAGCCCATGCAGGTGAGCCATCTACACTGGTCATCACAAAAATCGGCCCACCAACGTTTTACAGGAAAACTCGTTTCTACTGACACAATCATGGTGCCCCAACAATATTGGTGCTATTTGAAAGCCCAATAAATATCCTTAAAGAAAAACACATTTAATTTCCTAATAAACGATTAACATATACAATAAATGTGACTTGAAAAACTTGAAAAAAGACCTCACTTTGGGCTCACCTCTGGGATCAATTAGACCAATTTTTATGGTTATAAAACCAAATAATGATCTCACGTGTCCTCTTTAACAGATGGATAGCGATTAATCCCAACTTAACAGTTTTATAGCCATAAAAGTTGGCTCAAGCGTAACTATCTATTTTTTGAAGAAGTGACTCTGGATTCTTCTACAGATACCTTTCCTTTAATGAAATGAAGTTTAGAACTAGGCTTTTAAATGGTAATATAGTATAGTAATATTGGTGGGAAGTGGGGATGCATACGTTTGAAAGTGCTTGGCGCGGGTGGGTCGATTTTTATGATGACCAGTGTATATCTTTCAATGGTTGATCCTTGACCCGCCTTGGGTCAGCCCGCCATCGGACGCGTCCCCGGGTAGCGAACAGGGGAAGCCCTCCAGACTTGGGGGTACAGGTTTGCCGGCGCGGGCTAAAACACACCGCGCGGCGGGCCTCGTTGACCTGGACGGCGGGCCTGTCGGGATTTCGGGCCATTTTCCCGAGTCGCCTTGCAGGGAACATTTTAAGGAACCCCCACAGGCGGGATTGGCGTATCGGAACCCCTTGTTTGGAAGGCCGATCTCGGTACTTTTTGATTAGCAGTGCTGAAGCAAATCGCAACCCGCAATGTTGCACCATGGTCACATGTTTCACCACTACTACAAGGAGAAAACCAACACGCAACCCACTAGTCGTCTAAAAAAAGGCAGACGGTCGATAAAGCGAAATCAATCTTGAGATCTCAACTCTGATCTCAGAATTGTTGGATTTTTACAATAACCAAGATGGCAACCGTGACGATTTGTTTGCTAGGTGTTGGGCGACGGCGCGGAGGGCGCGGAGGGCGCGGCGGGCGAGGGCGCCGAGCTGGCCGAGCGCTGGCCGCACCGCCTGACGCAGGCGCAGCCGCCGCGCCGCTACAATGGTACGCGACTGACATACTACATTATTATTCTGATACCCCCGTATACTCGACAGAGTAGGAAGTGGGAGCCTTTCATTTTGAAAAGCGAGTGTAATAAATGAGATTCTAGAAAAATAATAATATCTTCATAAAAATACATAGCCCAAATCCTTCCTGTGATGTGAATCTATAATTTTTAGCTGTTGGAATAAATTTGTGTTATTGAGAATGGGCGTTCGTTGACTCACCTCGAGCACGTCGGTGTCCGCAGAGGCGGCGCGCGGCTCGCACATCTTCAGCCACAAGGGCGGGCTGCTGCAGGAGGGCGCGCAGTACGCCGCCTTCGAGCCGCCCTGGCGCCGGCCCTGGGGGCAGCCGCAGGCGGGTGCGTGTGTCCGAATAATATCCATACCTATAAAATTAAAATCACTGTACCATACTTTTTATGATATCTTTCAATCGCAGCTATTACAATTATTTTTAATCAAACATGTTCATGATTTTTCACCAGAAACATGATAGATATTTAAGGAAAAGAGCTGTCACTATGAACTGGCATGTTGTGAACACGGCTCAGAGGGCTAAGTGTGACAACTGTAACAACGCACACTGAGCCTTCTGAAACATTTTGAGTACATATTTCTATCAATATAACTACCTACATGACACATAATGTGCCTACTAGATAGACGCCAACTTCAAAAGCTTTTCTGGGCTTGTGTGAGAGTAAATGCACGCAGTACTTACCACCTAAAGGCAGTTCCCTTGCGTTGTGGTTGAGTGTCTCGACCGCTGTGTTGCAGGCGGCGAGTGGGGCGCCTGGGCCGAGGACCCGCGGCGCGCGTGGCCCGTGCCGCAGCCTCCGCCCGACCCGGTACGTCAAACCAATTGTACCTACACATCATTATTTTCTTAACCTTAGTTGCACCTGCACCACACTGTAACCAGTGACGATAATGGTATTTTCACGATACTACTGGTACTGGTGTGGTTTGGTAGGTAGTGCGGGGAGTCAGAAAGGACGGTTTTATTTAGAACGTGGGTAGGTACCTCGAGGCCAATAAACTTCTGGTACCACAAATCATCGTATTCTCTATAAATTAACACACGGGATTTGGCAACAAAACACTTTTAAAGAGGTAAACAGATATTTACCCTCCCGACGTTTCAAATCGGTCGCACAAGTCATGGTCGCGGGCAGACTGAAGAGATGCGGCGTCGTCTGCTCGGGCGCGATGAATTTTCTTCACTCACCCGCATTTGCACAATATAATTTTTGTCCGTGATAATTATAGTCAGTTCATGACTCGTGCAAACGAGTTGAAACGTCGGGAGGGTAAATATCTGTTTACCTTTATACTATCCGTTCGCATAAGTTTGCCGCTGCACAGAATAAGTAATAGTGGCCGCTGGCGATGTGACGTCACTCGAAGAGAAGCGTCTATAACTTTACAAACTATATTTACAATATTTTTTATTTATTATTATTGTTAAAAATTGTGTATTTGCGTAAAATAAGACACATTAATTGCGTTTAATCACTAACTAATTGCGGTTGATCCCGGTTGGGGGAGGGGACGCGCATTCCACGGACCGGCAAACTTAGCGCGAACGGGTAGTAAAAGTGTTTTTTTGCTAAATCGTGATAATTTGTAGTGAAAATGCAACATAATCATCACCATTTCAGCCATAGGCCGTCTATGGGAGGCCTATGCCTCACCCAATGCTTTCCATGTTGATTGATTGGTAGCGGCCTGCGTCCAGCGCTAAAAATGCAACATAAAAGTTTGAAATATTAAGTAGGTACATCGTATTTTCACGACCCACCAGGAGCTGCCGATGTACGTGCCTCCGAAGACGATGCCGGAGACGGCGCCGGAGTACGCTCGCCAGCAGCACACGCTGCGCGACGGGCCCAAGAAGGGGCTGGAGCTGGCGCCGCCCGCCGCGCCGCCCGCGCCCGCCCCCGCCCCCCCTGCCCCGCCCGCGCCCGCGCCCGTAGAGAACACCACCAAGAAGAAACTCCTCAAGGAAACCGTACGTTACTGCCACGTTTATAATAATGACTTACCCAGTACCCAGTCGTTTCATGATATGAAACCTTAGAATGAAATGAATGAGTGTGCTTAGATTATTATGAGTCTTTCTTTAATGTCATAAATTTCTAAAACTTAATAATTAGGCACTAATGATACTTTTAATTTGGTAATAGTTTAATAATATTAAAACTTAGCTCAGAGGCTCATGAATGTATTGCATCTATTGATTTGGGCACTGGGCTCCCTGTGGACTGCCTACCTATTATGTCTTATACTGGCCATTTATTCATTTGATTGTTTACGTATTTTTAGCACTTACTGATAATAAACAATGAGTTATAACAATACCTAACGGTCAATGGAGAAGTTTTAGCCCTATACGCCCGTTTCCTCGTGGTCGTCATACTAGTTTTTCATGCCAAAATAATCAAATGTTTTCGACCATGCTCTATCTACTCTACTGGCAACAACATACTAATATAGTAAGAAGAAAAGACTAAGAACCTTGTCACACTGGCGGATTAGGTACAAGCGGTTTCAACGCGGAGCGGCGGCACACGCCGCGGTTTCTTGCAAGCATTTTATCGACCGCGGCGTCGCGTCTTGCCCGCCGCGCCGCTTGGCCGCAAGGCCCTAAGTGAGCTGCCACACTGGTGGATTACAAGCGTTTTCAAAGCGGAACGGCGACGCAGCGAAACGCCGTCGCGGATGCGCAACGTTTCCGCCTCGTATTCGCCGTGGAGACGCGGCGTGTTCGCTGCGTCTCCGCTCCGCTTTGAAAACGCTTGTAATCCGCCAGTGTGGTAAGGGCAGGCCGTTAAGCTCGGTTTATAGTTGTCAACGCAGGACCGGTCGTTGTGAAAATCCTTAAGGGAGGTCCAGCTGTTCAAAAGACGTCCTTTTACGTTTTACGTACCTATTCGTTTTTACACACTAGCGCCTAGAGTGGTGGCGCGTGTTATGATGACTTCTGACGTGTCGCATAATGTGTGAAACCGATTGCGTTCTGCTGATGCATCACGTCAGACAAATATGTACGTATAAATCCGGCTCAAGACTTTTCTTCTTGCTACAATTATGTTATTGCCAGTAGGTAGTCATAGTCGGCTTTACACTTACATGCTTACTAAGCAGCCTGATATTATCACGTCATGTACCTACCGACCTACCTGTTTACAGCCGCACGAGGCCATGAATGCCGCGGCGGCGGCAGTGGGTGCGGCGACGGCGGCGGCGGCGGGTGCGGCGGCGGCGGCGGCGGCGCGTCCGGCGGCGCAGCTGGCCGACGAGCACGACGGGCTGAGCGAGCACCCGCCCGCCGCCATACTGCTACTTGTGCTCGGTAACTAGCTACCCACTACATATCTACATCCGAATTCAAACTCGACCCTCAAGTAAAAAATTCTGCCCATTAACATTCAAATTAAATAGATTTAATTAAATCTAATAAGAATACCACGAGTAATTGTATTGGGTACTGTTAAGAGACCGGTAGATCTATTCTTATAAATAAAACACTGGATACTTAACTTAGCACCAAAAACGCGCGAGTCGTCCGCGCGCGTCTCTCTATTCCGATGTTTAGTGTGGCATTGACATCATCACGTCAATGTCACTATGACAGCAGCTCATCTATCTATATATATAAAAATGAAACCCGTTTCGCGTTGTCACGGCATCACGTGTGAACGGCTGAACCGATTTCGATAATTCTTTTTTTTTAATGTTTGTGGAAGTCCAAGGATGGTTCTTACGGAAAAAAATATTAAGAAAATCTCTACGCTAAGGCGGTACGAAGTTCGCCGGGTCAGCTAGTTGCCTATAAAGATATCGATAATTTTAACGTTTTAGATTTTTCACAAATAACAGTACCATTTTAAAGCAGTCTATTTTTCATTTTATTTATGCTTTTTATATTTTTTATACTTTTTATATTTTTAAACCGGCAGACAGTGGTGGTGACTGAATTTGTTGCGGCGCTTCTTCTTAGCACTTGCCAAATGTTTGTCTCGAAGCGCTGGTAGGGCAAAAAAGAATGAGAGCATTTGAGGATTTGTACAAATATAGATAATTTTGATTTTGCCTATGCTTGAATCTATTCCTGAGTATGGATGGGATGAATTTTAGTGGAATTTCCGAACACTTACATGTTGGCCGATGCTTAGCAAAAAATATTTAAAAAATATAGTCTGATCGCTGACCACGTAGAATTTCGTCCAATGACCCCAAGCTACCCATCCTTCTCGCTCGTGCGTAATTATATTGCTGTCGCGACTGTGCGACGGGCGCCCGCAGTGAGTGTGCGAGCGATAAGGATGGGTAGCTTGGGGTCATTGGACAAAATTCTACGTGCTCGGAGACCGGGCTTTATAAATAAATACTTGTTTTCTATTTGAAATAGCCACTGTAGCTATAAGTTTGACTTGTCCAGACTGTTGCTGGCGCCATCTGCAACAAGCTTTGCATGTGAAATCCATCCTCTGGCTTGCACTGTACTTTCACAAAGTATGACAGTGCCTAAATAGCGAACGGGCTTCCCGGTGAAAACCAGTCACCGTATGATGGTTGTTCCGAGTGGCACTGTTTTCTTCCATGATGGCACAAAAGCTAACGTTAAAGACACTTGAGGATCGAATAAGAACTAACTCGTTGTTTTACGGCAGCGACGGAACGCGACAAGAAGCGACGCGACGTAATGCGTGTGTGATACGCGACTACATAATATGTCACTATTTAAACAACTACCTACTCGATATTTTCGCATCGGGGCACGTCGCGTCGCGTCGCCGCGTTAGTCGTTCGCGTAGGACAACGGGTCAGGGTCAGGGTTTTGGTTTCTGCAGGCGTGGCGATGACGGGCGTGCTGGGCGCGCTGCTGGGCGTGCGGGCGCGCGCGGCGCGGCGGCGGCTGCGGCGCGGCAAGGCGCCCTTCGCGCACGACGCCGACTACCTCGTCAACGGGATGTACCTGTAGGCGCGGGCCCCGAGGACCTCGCGCCGACTGAGCGGGCGTCGATCGATCGATTCAGTCATCGGACGGTCCTGAACCGCCTGCCAGGAGACGCAGGCGTTGTGGTAGATTGCGCCGCTAACGACGATGAGGTTCGCGTTGTAAGCGTCGAACGACACGGCGCGAGATGCTTTAGAAGAAGATGGAACGTTACATACCAAACGTCGGAGTGAAATATGGCAGATCGGGAGATTCAGGAGTTAGAGTGAATGACGCCCGTCGGTTTGTCAAAGCCAGGAGGCCGGTCTTGAGCGGTCCCGGAAACCGGTCGCTCGAGAGGGCGCCTCGACGCCTCACAGCAGTAAACTTCGATATCACCGCGCGCATCGTCATCATATTGAGCCAAAAAGAGGCAGATTTCTATAAAAAGTGAAAATATCATCATCATCAACGTTATAATATAATTTCATAAATTAATGGGCTTATTTTGAAAAATAATAATTTAAGTTGAACCGTGGTTTCTTATTTATAAAGTGAAACTGCGGCGGGATGTTGTTTTGTTATGTTACCATGGATGAATAAAATTTTAAAACCTTATTTTTAAATTAGGCTGATTTATCAGCCGTCGGATATCTTCTAACAAGAATAAACTTGTCATTTTGGCTTGTTTCCCATCACAGACCTGTGTGGTCTGTGTTCCCCATGCTGAAACTGATGTGCCAAACTTATTCTTCACTTATAAGTTATCAGGCGATTGAAAAATCAGCCCTTAGAATACATAGAAACATACATTAGGGTCGAGTATACATAAATGTATATCAGAATCAGAATCATCATTTATTTGCTTTAAATGTGGAAGATCGTTGTATTTTTGACGAAGCCCCCCCCCCTCCCCCCCCCTTCTCATAGGTCGTTGAAAGAGGCTTTCAAGTTGTGTTTGTAATACATTCCAAACTTATAATAAATAGCTTTGTTTGACGTTAGTGATTAAGTTTCATGACATTATTTTAAATAAATATCTAAAGCCCGCATCATGAAATGACACTAAAACTGGATTATGATTCCCAAGCTTTATAGTATAGTAATTAGTTTAAAGCTTGGGAATATTAGAGAATAGTTTTAGAATAGCTTCATTTCATAATACGGGTCTTAGATTCAAAATATCATTATTCTATGTATAAAGTCATATCATTAAGAGTTTACATACATCGCTGAAAAAACTAAATAGACCAAGTTCGTAGAATGAGCCAAATAGCTGCACAAGCCGCGTACTCAGACACTGAATTGGTTTGCGGTCACGATCCATTTCTTGTAAGACACCGCATAAATGAACGAACGTTGGATTTCTGTAATTATAATATAACGCATACACATACTTAAGCCATATAATAAATGTAATATGATCTGAAGGAGTTCCCAATTGTACGGTGATACACATACGAATCTCGCACGCAAGATCAGCACAAACGCTGAGATGAATAAGTTGCACGGCGGCGGTCACAAACGGACATATTGCTTCCGAAGGGCTTAGTGTGAGTTTACATCAAACGTTTAAGTATTCGATATCGAGTGCGTCAAAAAAACTACGATTATTTTAAAACTCACACTAAGCCCCCAGATCTTATTCTCTCATACGCGTATCCGTAACCATAAAATGTAGCGCCGCACCCAAAGACCTCATAAAATCCGAATATTTTTTTAAGTTTCAGTTCTGTGAGACTGGAAACATATTTTAAGATGGTACATATTTGTTTGTTGTTATCAAAAGTACGTTTTTTCATTATGCCAAATAATGTTACATTATTAAATTATAGCTCAGCTACCCACACTTCATTAATTTAGTACATATTTTTCAGATTTATTTTTTCTCTGGCAACATAAGTACATACATATTTTATAATCTTTAAGTATGGATGTTCAATAAATAATTAATTTTTATAATAAATGGCGTCCCACAAAAACTGATGGTTTTCATTGTACCCTAAGTAACCAACCACACGATTCTAAAGCCTGGTCCGTGAGCACGTAGAATTTTGTCCAATGACCCCAAGCTACCCATCCTAATCGCTCGCGCGTAATTATGTTGCTGTCGCGCTCGCACAGTCACTGCGGGCGCCCGACGCACAGTCGGTCATTGGACTAAATTCTACGTGCTCACGGACCAGGCTTTACATGCACTACTGAGCGAGCACCGAGTATGATTTTCTTAAAACTAAGAAATGACTGATTAATAAAAATAACAGGTATCGTTCAACACTTTAATAATCACAATAATGTATGATATTTTTAACATAAACTATATAGGGCCAGGCCGCAATTTTAAATTAATTCTATCTATGTAGGTATGTCAATTCGCACCGAGTCGATGGCATAATTAAACCTTAATCACTGGAACAACCTGAAGCGCGCCACTCGCAGCGGGGCCTGGGGCTGCGGCCCGCTTCCACCGGGCCGCGGCCTCCTGCCACCGGGCCGCTGCCCCCACCACCGGGCCGCGGCCTGCTACCACTCGGGCCGACGGGCGACGGCTGGCGCGCTCCCTCTCCCTCTGACCTACCGCGCTCTTGACAGGTTTGTCCAAACTTGCAAGACCAATTGGTTTGGTTCGTCACAGTACTCATTCTTCACTATACACTTATAAAAATACATATAAATAGTGAAAACGTTACTCTTTTATAACAAAAAGGTAGGCACTGCGATATAGTGAATGTGTAGAATTTAGGATCCATACACGGTTAGACTTTACACATCATTATTTTCTTAACCTTAGTTGCACCTGCACCACACTGTAACCAGTGACGATAATGGTATTTTCACGATACTACTGGTACTGGTGTGGTTTGGTAGGTAGTGCGGGGAGTCAGAAAGGACGGTTTTATTTAGAACGTGGGTAGGTACCTCGAGGCCAATAAACTTCTGGTACCACAAATCATCGTATTCTCTATAAATTAACACACGGGATTTGGCAACAAAACACTTTTAAAGAGGTAAACAGATATTTACCCTCCCGACGTTTCAAATCGGTTGCACGAGTCATGGTCGCGGGCAGACTGAAGAGATGCGGCGTCGTCTGCTCCGGCGCGATGAATTTTCTTCGCCCACCCGCATTTGCACAATATTTTTGTCCGTGATAATTATAGTCAGTTCATGACTCGTGCAAACAAGTTGAAACGTCGGGAGGGTAAATATCTGTTTACCTTTATACTATCCGTTCGCTTAAGTTTGCCGCTGGCGATATGACGTCACTCAAAGAGAAGCGTCTATAACTTTAACAAACTATATTCAAAATATTTTTTATTTATTATTATTGTTAAAAATTGTGTGTTTGCGTAAAATAAGACACATTAATTGCGTTTAATCACTAACTAATTGCGGTTAATCGCGGTTGGGGGAGGGGACGCGCACTCCACGGACCAACAAACTTAGCGCGAACGGGTAGTAAAAGTGTTTTGTTGCCAAATCGTGATAATTTGTAGTGAAAATTGAACATAATCATCACCATTTCAGCCATAGGACGTCTATGGGAGGCCTATGCCTCCCCCAATGCTTTCCATGTTGATCGATTGGTAGCGGCCTGCGTCCAGCGCTAAAAATCTAAATATACATAATAACGGGAGAAACTGACTGACTTAGTGACATATCAACGCACAGCCTAAACGGCTAAACGTAGGCACTTGAAATTTGGAAAGGACGTACACGTAGCTTAGGTACCGTAGGAATTCCGTGGGAATTAACGGGAAAATCTTTTTGTATGAAAAATCTAAATCGCTTTAGTTAGACGCTTGAAATTTGGCATGTAGGTACCTTAGTAAACTTAAACCTTAGTTACAAGGAATTCCCGAAATTCCCACGGGAACGGGAATTAGTGCGAAAATCCTTTTGTATGAAAAATCTAAACCGCTTAAGTTAAACGCTTGAAAGGACAATGTTCGTTCTCCATACATTGTTTGCCTAAGAACCAACAATTTTGACATATTACTACCCGAAAGCGAAATANTTGTGTCCAAAATTTTTGACTTTATCGATCGATATCTCGATAACGATGCATGATACGCTAAAAATGGTTCGGGCGTTATTGTAGAGCACAAAGAAAGCTACAAAAAGTGTCCTACAAAAATTTTCGAATCTCATCGGATAGCCGAGTTATTGCCGAAAAACAAATTTTAAGCGTTTTCCAAGATGGCGGCGAAAGCTCCTAGGAAAGCTTGGTCGACAATCTCAAGTTAAGCTTTTCTAGGTATCCCCTACAACATATTAAAAAATTAGAAGCGCAAATTCATTTTCTTTTATTTGCCTTTTTTTCGGACGAAATGACTGGACTATTAATTTAGTACATATTTTTCAGATTTATTTTTTCTCTGGCAACATAAGTACATACATATTTTATAATCTTTAAGTATGGATGTTCAATAAATAATTAATTTTTATAATAAATGGCGTCCCACAAAAACTGATGGTTTTCATTGTACCCTAAGTAACCAACCACACGATTCTAAAGCCTGGTCCGTGAGCACGTAGAATTTTGTCCAATGACCCCAAGCTACCCATCCTAATCGCTCGCGCGTAATTATGTTGCTGTCGCGCTCGCACAGTCACTGCGGGCGCCCGACGCACAGTCGCGACAGCAATATAATTACGCGCGAGCGATAAGGATGGGTAGCTTGGGGTCATTGGACTAAATTCTACGTGCTCACGGACCAGGCTTTACATGCACTACTGAGCGAGCACCGAGTATGATTTTCTTAAAACTAAGAAATGACTGATTAATAAAAATAACAGGTATCGTTCAACACTTTAATAATCACAATAATGTTTGATATTTTTAACATAAACTATATAGGGCCAGGCCGCAATTTTAAATTAATTCTATCTATGTAGGTATGTCAATTCGCACCGAGTCGATGGCATAATTAAACCTTAATCACTGGAAACAACCTGAAGCGCGCCACTCGCAGCGGGGCCTGGGGCTGCGGCCCGCTTCCACCGGGCCGCGGCCTCCTGCCACCGGGCCGCTGCCCCCACCACCGGGCCGCGGCCTGCTACCACTCGGGCCGACGGGCGACGGCTGGCGCGCTCCCTCTCCCTCTGACCTACCGCGCTCTTGACAGGTTTGTCCAAACTTGCAAGACCAATTGGTTTGGTTCGTCACAGTACTCATTCTTCACTATACACTTATAAAAATACATATAAATAGTGAAAACGTTACTCTTTTATAACAAAAAGGTAGGCACTGCGATATAGTGAATGTGTAGAATTTAGGATCCATACACGGTTAGACTTAATTCTAAGGTTACGATACATTTAATGCACTGAGGTTCAATGTTGTCGTCTATGGGCAGAAGGCGTGTCTCCCGAACACTCGTCTACGACATGGATTCTAGGAGTCAGTGCAAGTCTAGGCTTATGTATCAAGTCTTACGGATGCGAGAGCAATGCCCAAGCCAGCAAGCTAATATTTATTCATTTTTAAATACTTTTGTACATAAAAAAATATAATTAATAATTTTAATATTTTAAGTAAGACTCCTCCGGCTCCGGTAAGACGAGCCGGAAGACGTAGCGCGGGCAGGCCTCCCACTAGGTGGACCGACGATCTGGTGAAGGTCGCGGGAGGTGCCTGGATGCGAGCGGCGCAGGACCGGTCTTTGTGGAAATCCTTGGGGGAGGCCTTTGTCCAGCAGTGGACGTCTTTCGGCTGAAACGAACGAACGAAGACTCCTCAAATTATTCTCTTTACTCACCAATTTAGCGAGGGCCAGTAGCAATCGCTATCGTAAGATTTGACGACAAGTAAACTATTGATATGATGCCTTAAATAAAACTGACTTCTTTAATCCATGGGAATTATACCGATATAATCGATATATCAGACGCCAGGAAGAGGCCAACATCATCAGGATCGAAAATGACAGTTAAAACTTCACTACATTTGTTACTTTGCAAGATTTAACATGTAAATGTATGTAAACTTACATAATGTATTTAACACAACAATCAACACATAATAGACAAATAGTGCTAATCAACTAATCTGGATACTCAGTGTAACTCGAATAAGTTTCCACTAAATCATTACTTAATATTCATGAACCAATAAACATACCGTATTTCATTAAAAGCCATTCCAGGGAAGACTCAATACTTGAGTATTGAGTATTGACTGATACTTCCCTACAAGTGAGTGGTGTACTTCTGTTTGATACATTAAATCCAGTTTTTGTTTCAATGACACAAAAGTTAATTTTATAAAATCAATTCTTTTTCAATTATTAATTAATCTTATCAATTCCATTTAGAAACATTAACGTTTACCGTATAAATTGTTAACTTTTTGTATACAATTTTTAAGCTACGCCTACTGATGCAGATTTCTGCAACCATTATCGGCGCGAATAATTCGACGTCAGCGAAAATTACGAACACAAGTAAAATTCCTTTGTTGATAAATTATCACCTGATTACATATTTTAATCCTTAATAATTAATTTAATTTGAATTTTATCAATAATGGAATGCGTTAGATGCGAGTATCGCTCGCGCGTTTAATGATAAGTAGAACAAGGCCCCGCCTGACTCACTTTTCGAAGAAGTTATCATGGCTCCGCCTTTCGTGACTCTTTCTAATAATACAGTGTGGCCCTGCATGAAATATTACAAATTTTGTTTTGTGTGTTTTTATAGATCTATAGAAATTTTATCAGTTCATATTTTTTTTATTTACAAAAATTGTATTATAAAGAATTATGTTTTTAACGATAATAATTTGTGATGTAGTTTCACCCCCTTCTCGGGTT